CATTGATTGTTGAGTGCTCTTAGGTGATTTTTGTGTTTTCATTTATGATTGATCATTAATTGATCATTGATTGTTTGATCAGCTTTGAAATTGGTAAGCAATTGCCAAGTGGTATGACTACCGCAATAGTGCATCACAATAGTGTCTTACCTGTTGTAGTACACTTGTACAACTCTATATTTCTCCTATGGTTTTGGCAGACATAACCTTGTCAATTAGGGTCACCAGTTGATTAGATATAAGGTATTAAATAACATGAGTATGAAACCGTTTAATCACCACTAAATACATGAGAACATCAACTTTATCATGGAACTTAAAGCTTAAACTTATATGCTGATAATGAAAGTGTTGTGATTTGTGTTGATGATTCGTGATGACAACCATTTATCAGAACACTATCCTTTTGAACTTTTTTCTATTTGAGCTGTTGAGATGGTGGATGCACTTAAGCGTTCTATGAATAAATCATATCCTTAGAGCCTATACTTGATTTTAATGTTTTCATATTGATTTTATTAAAAGACAGTGGCATTCTAAATCTGGAATAAATCTTAACTGCACTAGTAGTTGGAAGACAGAAAAACATGCCATGCCTTCTAGAATGCTTGTGAACATTGCCCTAATTGTACCGAGGCCTTTGGATCAGAAGCATTTTTCGACTAATCCCTTGTCTCTTATTTTGAATATGAAAACTTTCTGTCTGTAGGGTTATTGACTTGCATTATGCAAGGGATCAATACTGGTGGTGTCCCAATTAATTGAAGTAATCGAAGATTGATCAGAAGGTCCTAACAGTCAAGCAATAAAACACAATTTCCATGTTTAAACACAAACGAATTTGCCCCCTCTCATTAGGCCCTAAGGACCCATGAAGATCCGGGGTAGAATAGGTCTTCAGCAACCCATGTTTGCCGTAAAAGGCGACTATGCTTGTCGTAAGAGGCGACTAACGGGTCGGGTTGTCAGGCTCGCTGACTTGGTTGATGCATGTCATCGTATCCCAATTGCATGGTTCCATGCTCATGATGTCAATCACTGGATAGTCTGGTCCAGACTCGATTATTTACAGATGGCCGTCATATAGCTGGAATATTGCTGAGTACGGCGTTAAACAATAAACAAACAAACAAACATTAGACCCTAAGATAACTTGTTTCCTGAAAAGGATTATTCACATTTTACTGCTTAGTACTTGCTAAAAACTGAGAAAGAGTGAGGTCCAAGTCTTTATTGAAAAATGAAATGTTGATTTAAACTGGGTAAGTATTTGTTTTAGGTGTGATTTAGTTTGACTGAAGTGAACATTGAAAAACAACGAAATGACACATACTGATCAGCTTCGTGTAAACGATCAGGATGTTCCGAACATCAATCATGATTTAGCAACCAGTTCCTTATACTAATCAATACTGTTCAAATATTCATGACAAGTAAAATATTTGATCACAGACTAACAAACAATCAAACCATGTTAATGGCAACCCTGCTCTCAGGAGGCTTACTCTTTTGTTATGACTTTAATAAAAATGGATATTACTTGGTATCCATGAAGTTTACAGATTAGAAGAAATATATTTACCTGGCTGAATTAACTGGAACAAGTACCATCCAAAGGAACCATTTGTGGCTTCATGGGCTGTTAAAATTATTTTACCATGGTTATTGATGGACATGTATTCCTGGGTTGTATACCCCATCGCTCTCAAATATCCCTTTACCCTCATTGAATATAAAACTTATTATACTTTCATTGAATATAAAATTTATAACCTTCAAGAGACATCAATTATGACAGCTCATCATTTGACCCTCAGGTCATATTACCATGGTAACAAGCCACTTTATGTTTCTGTTCAATGGGACAAAAGGCCTGGTATTAATAGGCATTTTACAATTATACTCACACTCTGTAACTTATAAATGTGATTCATGAAAACGTAAGCACAACCAGGCATGTCCAGCTCCAGTGGAACCTCATTATTCAATACTTTGTTTCTTCAGACATGTACTTATTATTGAGGGAACAGGTGATCTGGTTATTTAATTTGTTACTGAGAGATGCACATCGTGGTTGAATCCTCTGTGGTTTCGGAATCGAAATTTGCCATTTGATTGCCAGCTCCATACTGTAGTATACGACCCATATCACTTCAACTATTTGCATATCCTGCCATTATATGACTGAATTGCAGTGTTAAACACCCACTTCACCCAACTAAACCTGTTATCATAAATTTAAATTCATTACGTATGAACGATGATTTATTGTCGATGACATGAATGCTGTTTAGTTTAATGTGGCTTCAGCATGTTCAATGGTGATGTATCGGTACAGGTCACAGAGATCGCAAATCGCTAACTAAATATCGATGAAATATCGATAAATATTAGAGAAGGAACTTTAAGCAAATATGCGAGAAAGTCCAGAAAGAAATCAACAGATTTCACACCACTGGTGAGCCGTGACACATTTTTTCATGGGATACTTTGTGGACATTTCAGATATAACAAAAATAGTTGATTTCCGTCTTCGACAGTTGACATTATTGACAATGACAAGTCTCTTACGGAATAGCTAAACTTTATTTCATCACAATAGTTTATGTCAGTTATTATCAATGACAGCAGTTTCATGTCGATAATTTCTTAATAATTTCATACTTTTAAAGTTTACACTGTTTCTTTCATGCTGATTGGCTGAAGGGGTAGTCACGTGATCTGATATTTGGAGTTCACACACCTGTGATTGGACAAAAAAAGTTCACACGATGTGAACAATTTTTTGCGAAATTGATCATGTGAACTTTTGCCGGAACCACTTTCCGGGGTTTCCCCGAATTCTCGATCGGTGTTTGCGATCAACTTGTTTTTCGTTTTTCTTTTTAATACCTGCATTTATCAGAAAGCTCGGAGGTTCACACAGTTTAACCAGCGCTTTTAAATCGTTCACTATTTAATGAACCCATCCAAACTGACGTTCAATTCTTAAATATTTCTTTCCATCAACGATAATTCTGATTATCGATGTTTCAGCCAGCCCCAGTGATGTGCATATCAGCATGCCTTACATTGTAACTTAGAGCACACCCAGTTATTTCTTGTTTCATATGCTTCGTCATCCTGTATGTCAGAATGCAAGAATCAAGCTTTTAGCTCTGGATAGTGTGTTGATTTGATGTTAATTTACTAAAATGAACTTTATTTTGACTAAAATATAACAAAACAATATTTAACATTTTAAATGTTTAAAAACAATTTTTTTGTCAAAATATTCAACATGTTCAATAAAAATATTATTTTTGATTATTGTCTTTTACTTTTGCAAACTATAGAGTAGGACTATGTATATGGTTTACTTTATTGGAGTTGATGTGTGATAACGGAAAGTGATGTTTTTAGCGTTCTAATTGCAAGGTCAGTGTTTTAATAAAAACCTCAGGCCATGAAAGTATTTGAAAAAGAAGACAGAATTTCCACTGACACTGGTAGACATTGGTAGATTGGGAGAACACGTGTGTACATCTGATTGCTATTTCTGGCTTAGTTTACGAGACAACACACACGGTAATCTTTATCCCTGCATATAAAACAATGCCTAGCATAACAAGAAATACAATCGAAATGGTAAATCATCTTGTCTAGTGATGTTTAATCGCAAATTTAACATTTTCATTGACAAAGTTTGTTATAGCGTTGTTCATTCACCAGAAGTGATACAATGCACTTTTTTTACCAACAGAAAAAGAGTTTGATGAAAGTGTAACCCATATATAAGCCAACCCCTTTCTACAGGATCTTTTTTCTGGTCCTCAAAATTTGGCTTATCTATGGTATTATATGGTAGTTTAAAGAATATTGCTGCATGAATCATGAGTGAAGCAATGTGTAGAACAAGTGAGAAATATTGTCAGTGTATGATGTGAACTGTGCACTGAGGACTCAATGGCTTCCCACTCACTGGCACCAGGCCCATGTTTGATTGGTTGGTTATAAATAGCGACTCTACTGCATATTGAACGTTTGCATTCATGGGTGATGGAACATAGTACATTCCAAAACTGTGAAGTATTGACAATGTGTTGAACCCAGAGGGAGGCATACAGAGATTGGTTGGTTGGTTGGTTGGTTGTTTTACGCCGCACTCAGCAATATTCCAGCCATATGACGGCGGTCTGTAAATAATCGAGTCTGGACCAGACAATCCAGTGATTAATATCATGAGCATCGATCCACGCAATTGGGATCGATGACATACATCAACCAAGTCAGCGAGCCTGACCACCCGATCCTGTTAGTCGCCTTTTACGACAAGCATGGGTTGCTGAAGACCTATTCGAATTAAAGCTGATCAGCTAGCTTTGCAAGTATTGTCAGGTGATAAACCAGAGTTCCCGTTTACCGGTAATTACCAATTTTTTTTACTGGTAAAATTAGGCTTGGACCGGTAATTCATGTGACTGTGGACTGGTCACTGGACTGGTAAATAAAGTACATTATAAATCTTTGTCATGTTTGTTGTTGAACAAAACCTTGGTGATATTCATATAAGTATATTTTTTTAACAAAGTCAGCTTGTCCGTCACCATCCGGGTTTCCCCTTGTCTATTTTTAGTCCAAGGAAATAACATTTGCTTTTCTTCGAGGTTAAAAATATATTTGAAGTGATTTTGTCCCGAAATATTTAAAAAAGAAGAAGAGAAAGTTGTGACTGAACTTTGTGTGAATGATCTAAGTTATTTCAGAGATGATGTCATGGCATTGAAAATGACGTTGAAAGAATTATTACCAGGTAATTTTCATACATATTTTTATTTGTTGAAGTTGGTACTGACCAAAATTAGGGGGGACTGGTAAATTTTAGAGTTGCCAGTACACCAGGACTGGCTGTTTTAATAGCCAGCGGGAACACTGATGGGGTTACTGTTATTAATTCAATGGAAATTACACCTCAAGATTTTATGCATAAGAAGTGAAGAAATTGTGATTATATTTTTCAGTTGTGTACAACTACACGACTGGCGGTGTGAAAGGTTGTCTCCCCCTGGAGATAGGTGAATGTGTCCACATACTGGAAGAGTACTGCACTGGATCTGGAGCGGACAGGAAAGGTAAAATACAAATCTGTCGCGGGAGGGGGTGGGTACTTGCTCATGACATGTTCCATAAACCTATCCCTTATTTTAATAAATCATTGAATGTCAAAGACAAATGCTGTTTGAAGTGTGAATTCAAATTGCTTATTATAATTAATTTACCATGTTTAATCAAAGCCAATGAAGGATCAACAACATTTTTATATCAATACCTGTCTGAAAAAAAAGATACTTTGGTAAGCATTGTCTTAATTTTGTGCATATTTGATTTGAATATATGCCACAAAACATCACAGAAGAAAATTGTATGGTTTCAAACTTTTTGCTTTTATTTTTCCATTTCAGGCCTTACTGTATTTTTTACCATAGCAAATATTTAATAAAGAGGGCTGAACTGTGTGACCAGGTGCCTGGTTTCAGAAATGGTGTCCAATCCCAGTCTTTCCACCTCCGGGGGGCACGGGTGGACCAGTCGTCTAAGGCGCCGCGATTCGCTATGCAGAGTTGCGTCCCTTGGGCACGCCAGAAACCTATGATTGTGGGTTCGAATCCCGGTTCACCCCACTTATGTTTCTAGGTTTGTCAGCACCATACCCATGTTCATGGGTTTTACCGAAGTGGTAAACGTCTGAGACCTGCATCACTTCGGGCTTTCCTCCCACATTAAGCTGACACGCCGATCTATAACTGGAATACTGTTAAAAGTGGTGTTAAACACAACTCACTCACTCTTACCACCTCTTTAGTGAAGCATCAGCCCAGAGAGCAGAAGGTCTGTAGTTTAATCCCCAGGCTAAGTCATGCCAAAAGATGGTACTTGTTGTTACCCTGCCTGGGGCTAGACACTGATTAAGGCTAAAATAAATAATCGTCTTGGTTCTCAGGCACTGCCCGCTTCATCATAAAGTCTACTGCACATTTCGTTTATATTTCCATTTTCAAAAAACACTATTACTTAAAAAGCAATGCGATCTATTATGGCACACTTTTACTTCCTTTACACTCGCACTGCTTTACTGCGCATCTCCTGTTATAGTCATGGCGGCAAAAAGAGTTTTTATGCTTGTTTATGTAGGGAGGCCCTTTGCCAGGTCAATTGTACACAACTGTGTCCGTTACATACTAGTGTGAACAATCCCCCCCCCCCCAAAAAAAAACAAAAACAACAACAAACCCCCCAACAAACCCCAAAACACAAAAAAAACACCGCCCACCCACACTATATTTTCAAAAGTCATTTCCTGAGAACCAATTCTTTTATTTTTTTAAGCCTAAGGGGATAAAATAAGGACCGGTCAGCTCAAAGTCAGTATAATGTGTCTGAGTTGGTTATCCATGTTAAACTGTGGCATGGTATCCCAGCGGGCAGCATTATTAGGATATACACACACTTGCCTGCACATCGCTCGCTGTAAGTGAAATAACCTTGAATGCAACGCTAAACCCTGTTTCACATCTTCTGTGTCCAGTCTATATCTTCAAAGTGTAACTAATGCACTTAGTCAGTCAGACATTGCCTTAATTGTACCAGGTTAAGGTGTTATTGTTAAATTAGACAAGACAATACAAAATTTCTTTAAATCATCATTTGATCAAAGCTGCAAATTAATTGAAAAACCTTTATTCCATTCTCTGAGCTGAAAGTAATGTATGGCATAATAGGTACTTTATTAGACTACAACCGTTTTGCTCTTAAACATTCCTAAGCCATGGAAAGATCTTGTGCATGATTCAAAACATCTAAACACAATGCAATTGATAATTTCTACTACATGGCTTGATTTACTTAAGACAAGCAAAGGTTCTAGAATATTTTATGATAACTTTATATCATCATCTAACTTTCCAGAAATTTGTGAGAAGTGGGAACAAGAATTTAACTATCAAATTAATTGGAAATATGTATTTTTACAATATAGAAAATCTACAATAGATACAAGACTTGAATTCAAATTCAAATTCCTACACCAAATAATATACACTAAAAAGAAATTGTTAACGATGAACTTGGTGGACAACGACCTATGTTCATTTTGCAATTCAGACAGTGAAAACATTGCTCACATATATTTGATATCAGCAAAAAGACACATTTACTTAACACTTATTAAAGGAAAACTGCGCATCTCGTGTTATAGTCATGGTGGCAAAAAGAGTTTTTATGCTTGTTTATGTAGGGAGGCCCTTTGCCAGGTTGATTGTACACAACAGTTCCTCTCCCAACTCATAGTGAACTAAACAGTTCCTCTTTCCACTCATACTTCACAAAACAGTTCCTCTCCCAACTCATAGTGAACTAAACAGTTCTTCTCCCAGTTCATAGTAAACTAAACAGTTCCTCTCCCAACTCATAGTGACCGCCTCCGTGGTCTTGTGGTAGAGCGTCCGCCCGGAGAGCGGAAGGTCCAGGGTTCGATCCCGGGCCGCGTCATACAAAAAGACGTTAAAAGATAGTACTTGTTGTTACCCTGTCTGGCGCTCGGCATTAAGGGGCTAAAACAAGGACTGGTCGGCTCGGAGTCAGTATACTGTGTCTGAGTGGGGTATTCATGTTAAACTGCGGCATGGTATCTCAGTGAGCTAGCACTATAAATCGGCATCAGTCCGGACTAGTACAAGCAGCCACACACACACATACACGTGCATGCACGTCGCTATATAAGTGCAATAATCTTGGACGCGACGTTAAACCCAATTTCACCTCACCTCACCCAACTCATAGTTAACTAAACAGTTCCTCTCCCAACTCATAGTTAACTAAACAGTTCCTCTCCCAACTCATAGTTAACTAAACAGTTCCTCTCCCAACTCATAGTGAACTAAGCAGTTCTTCTCCCAGTTCATAGTGAACTAAACAGTTCCTCTCCCAACTCATAGTGAACTAAACAGTTCCTCTCCCAGTTCATAGTGAACTAAACAGTTCCTCTCCCAACTCATAGTGAACTAAGCAGTTCTTCTCCCAGTTCATAGTGAACTAAACAGTTCCTCTCCCAACTCATAGTGAACTAAACAGTTCCTCTCCCAACTCATAGGTAGCTCAACAGTTCACTCTCCCAACTCATAGTGAACTAAACAGTTCCTCTCCCAACTCATAGTTAACTAAACAATTCAATCTCCCAAATTATACTTAACTAAACAGTTCACCCTCCCACCTCATAGTTAACTAAACAGTTCACCCTCCCAGCCCATAGGTAGCCAAACAGTTCACTCTCATAGGTCATAGCTGCTAAGCTGAACAGTTTCCTCTTCTATTGATTGATTAACAAAATAGTTCTCTTTCGCAATGATTGGTCAAATAAACTGTTCCCTCTCCCAACTCATAGTTTGGTCACCAGTTCCCTCTCCCAAGTCATAGTTAGGTAGCCAGTTTGTTATTCCCAATGATTATTGAACTAAACAGTTCCCTTTTCTATTCCATTCTTAATAGCTTTCTCTCTCAAGTGTTGGTTAGCTTAGCAGATTCCAAAATGATAAATAACCTTATTTATCCATTGTATTTCATGATTAAAGTAAATCATTATGAACATTATAGATGGAATTACAATCAGGCATCTTTGCCCTATCCGATCTGTCAGTTCATAATAATATTATCACGTGAAGGAAGTACGCAGTGTATTATCAATGGTACACAGCACAGCATCATCAGTGACTGGTCCACATGCTGTGTAACACATTACACCACACTACCAGGCACAGCTATCAGTGTGGCCAGGTAAGATAACCTGGATCTGTGGAGGTTCTGTGTGATACAGGAAGAGACAAAGACCAGGTGGCATGATATATGATATATGTCCTACTGGATCAGGAAGTGTGATGCATGTGGTAGTCACGTTGCACTTGTCAATAGTTGGCTGTGTTGGGTCCCATGGTTTTCTTGTGTCACTGTTGACAGTTGACAGTTGACATGTATTGACTTGTATTTCCAATTGAATTTGTTAGGTTATCTTTGTTGGTCTGGTTTTTAGGCTTTCAAACTACTGAATATAGAATATTTCTTGAACTCGGGTGCAAGGTCACATTTGAGCTAGAAATTATATTTTGTTATTATGGTTTTATAACCTTGCAGTTGGTAAATTCATTTTTTAAAAACATTTAAATGCTGAACACTTATAACATTAAAATTATTAAAAATATAACAACCACCTTTTTAGGTGTTTGTGGACCCCTGGAAATAAAAAAAATAAAGTTAAGAAAAACACTTTAACGTTGTGCCAGTATTTTCCAGTACTTATTTCTGGATTCTTTCTTTCAAGGTCTTCCTTTTTTCATATCAACGTCAAGGAAAATGTTTAAAATGCGTGCAAAAGGTTTAATTCTTTAGCTTCAGGAGAACTTTATGGGCGTGTCCCTGACAGCAGATAAATTTACCTTACCTTAATTAACTCATCTTCCTGAGGCAAGGGAGTTAACTGACTATAAACATGATAAAAGTCCAGTTTCCACCCTTGCCGAACTAGGCTGGTATTATGGAGTTAAATTTTGGCTGGACTAATGAGTCTATGCATAGTCCCATCAAAATTGCACAACAAAATCAAAATCTGGTTCGTAAACTGTCGTACAGATATCGGTAGATTGCAGGATTTTCAAAACATGTGCACCAGCATGCAAGGTATAAATAGACAAAGGCATGAGTTTGAACCGATTTAAGGTATGCATGTATTCATGATATAGGTACCTATTTTTATGATGCCATCAGTCGTGTAGCCTAGTGGTTAAAGCGTTCTCTCGTCAAGCCAAAGACCTGGGTTTGATTCCCCACAATGCGTGAAGCCCATTTCTGGTGTCCCCAGCCATGATATTGCTGGAATATTGCTAAAATCGGCATAAAACCTCACTCACTCACTATGATGCCATAAGGTAGATAATAATGCTCCAGGTATTTATGATATTGCCAAAGTGCTATCATATTGGTACAATTGTTACAGGCTTCACTATGCCATATGTTGGGTTTGATACATAGTACCTGGGGTAAGAGCATGATTGTATTTCTTAGATAGGTATTATGAACTGGTGTTCATGATATAAACATAATGCATACAACATGTTCAAGTTAAGGTGTATAAATGTTTAATTTTAGTTTTGAAAAAGGCATGTTCAGTCAGCTAAGTTCTGGAAGAAATGAGCTTTTGTTGTGTAAGGTATTTGCCATTGTTGAGTTTAATGACCATGGTTGGTTAGTTTGTTGTTTAACGCCGCACTCAGCAAAATTCCAGCTATATGATGGTGGTCTGTAAATAATCGAGTCTGGACCAGACAATCAAGTGATTGACACCATGAGCATCGATCCACACAATTGGGATTGATGACATGCATCAACCAAGTCAGCGAGCCTGACCGCCCGATTACGTTAGTTGCCTCTTACGACAAGCATAGTCGCCTTTTACGACAAGCATGGGTTGCTGAAGACCTATTCTTGATGACCATAATGCCATGCAGTAAGACATCTTGGTTAATGTCAACTGCACACAGACCGCCAGGCCTGTCACTGTACAGCCCTAATGTAGTGGAACATGCCAGGTGGGTGCATGGCAGGCAGTGGAGGTGAAATGAGAGTGTAATTGGATAGACAGGCTCTGTCCATAGGGCAAAGGTAATATTGCACAATGCTGTGGTGTATACATTACAGTCTTACACAATGTTGTAATTAACTACACAGTGCTGAAGAGTATTCCACAGTTATGTTGTGAATTCCACAGTGCTGTACAGTGCCATAGAGTATTCTACAGTAATATAGTGTATTCCATAGTACAATAGGAAGTTACACAGTGTTGTAGTGCATTATACAGTGCCATAGAGTATTCTGCAGTAATATAGTGTGTTCCATAGTACTATAGGGTATTACACAGTGTTGTAGTGCATTATACAGTGCCATAGAGTATTCTACAGTAATATAGTGTATTCCATAGTACTATAGGGTATTACACAGTGTTGTAGTGCATTATACAGTGCCATAGAGTATTCTACAGTAATATAGTGTATTCCATAGTACAATAAGAAGTTACACAGTGTTGTAGTGCATTATACAGTGCCATAGAGTATTCTACAGTAATATAGTGTATGCCATAGTACTAAAGAGTGTTAAACAGTGCTGTAGTGCATTATACAGTGCCATAGAGTATTCTACAGTAATAAAGTGTATCCCACAGTTATACTGTGAATTCCACAGTGCTGTAGACTCCTTTACAGTGCCATAGAGTATTCCTCAGTATAGTGTATTCCATAGTACTAAAGGGTATTACACAATACTGAAGTGTATTCCACAGTTATGTTGTGAATTCCACAGTGCTGTAGACTGCTTTACAGTGCCATAGAGTATTCTGCAGTATAGTGTATTCCATAGTACAATAGGGTATTCCACAGTTCTGTAGTGTATTCCACAGTTATATTGTGAATTCCACAGTGCTGTAGTGCATTATACAGTGCCATAGAGTATTCTACAGTAATATAGTGTATTCCATAGTACAATAGGGAGTTACACAGTGCTGAAGTGTATGACACAGTGCTGAAGTGTATTTTACAATACTCTATCTAATTGCACAGTGATCTAGTGTATTAAAGTGTGCTCTTGTGTGTTACATGGTTACACAGTGCTATTAAGTGCTTCATTCAGTTACACAAAGAATACTACACAAGGCTTAAGTATATTTCACAGTGCTACCTGACATCCTATGTATATCATTTATGCCTGAAGACCTTGGAACCATCAATAAACTATCATCCAGGAATTGTTATTAAGAATGACATCTTTGAACTTTCAAACCATCATAATGTTATTATTCCCCGCCACGAAGTGGAAGGGGGAAATTAGGAATGGGTGCTATCCGTTCGTCATATCTTAACCAAACCTGGCACCCAGATAGGTCTCTGGGTGAACTGGTGCCTTTTGATAGTTTGGGATTTTTGTAAAACTTATTTTCAGGTTTCCATGGCAAAGACTTTGACTTAAACTGAAAATGGCGGAATTGGCAGGGCGTTATGAGTATTTCATGCTTGTTTTTGTGGGAAAAAGAAAACAATTCAGTAACTGATCATAATCAATGATTAAACAGTTGGAATGAACTAAATGTACATGATGTAGTCAATCACCAATTATAAAATCCAAAGAATTCCGATGTGGAAATTATGTGTTTGTGCATGCAGGTTGTGGGTTAGAATCTCAGGTTTACTTCATTATGACTAACAGAGTCTGTCAGTACTCAGTGGGTACAGATGTAAGACCAATGTCACTTTGGCCCTTCCTCCCTAATGTCATACTGTCACTGAAATACAGTTCCAAGTGGAGTTAAACTCAACCCACTCACTCACTCATCTGTTGCAGCAACATGGTATCGGGGCTACTCCTTCCACAACAGGAAAGCCAAGGTAGGTGCATGTCGTCTTTTCTCTGACATAAAGTTTTGATAATACATTTTTAGAAATGCTGCTCTTTAAGAAGCTGTTGTTGCTTTTGTAATATAATGGATTATTTTCAAGGAATTTCACATTAATGTTCCCAGTTTGAAAGTATTTCTTAGTTTTCTTCATGTAAATTAGATTTTATTTTGTTATGTAGGGTATATTTCCAGCATCATTCGTCCACCTGAAAGAATGCAACGTGGAAAACGAGGGGTGAGTTACTTCGGATTGGTTCAGTCAGTTATAAAAAAGAAATAAACTTTATTATTCTAAGTTGGAAAAAATATCTGCTGATATTGACCTTTAATGATTACTGACAAAATGTAAACTTGTAAATAAAAGAGGGAAACTTCAAAGACTTCGGTCTGAATTTCATGACAACAACTAGAACAACAATAATGATAATAGTTCACTGTTATGTACCTAAGCACTGTGAACACAGTTAGCAGGCTTAAGCTTAAAGTTCATATTACTCAAGTCAGTCGATTCAGTTTGGCACATTCAAGTTGTCCCAGTGGGGAATCCAGGCGATTCCAGCTGTCTATGTGTGTTGTACAATGCAACTTAATTGATAGGTTAGTCAGCCTTTTGACTTGGTTGATGGTGTGCTGCGTAGCCCCATAGTGTGGATCTTTGCTCTTTGTATAAATCACTGGTTTGTCAGGTTCAGGCTCGATTATTTACAGTCTGTCGTCACATAAGTGGAATATATTGTGGCATTAAACAACAAACAATCAAAATCATTTAAATTAAATTTTCAGCTTCCTTAGGAACATAGAACCCAAGCTGTCATGTTGTACATCTATTTCCCGTATACAATAACATCTTACATGATAACATGTGAGTGACTACCTGGTTTTGCTATGAAACGTAAATTCAAATTCATAAATATTGCCAGACAATTTTGGTAAACAAATAACTGCAATTTGATTTAAGTTTTGTTAATGTGGGCTAATTGTTTACATCTTCCAGCCCTTACGAGAGTGTGATTCCAATCGAGGATGCCATCATCAAGGAAGTAACCTTCGTGTTGCGAGAATGGAATCTCATCTGGAAACAACTCTTTGTGGTATGTCACATGATCATTTGGACAAGGTCACAGACCAGAACAATACCCCCAGAATAAAGTTCTAAACTTCATACGTATCATGTCATATTCAAGTGTAATTTCAACCTTGACTAAATGAACATTTCATCCATAGAAAGAAAAATATTTGGGGTAATTTATGTTCAAATTTACAAGGGTATTTTTAGGTGAAAAGTTACACATTGTTTGAATGGCATCCCGCTCCCTTAAACAAAGAGATCTGATATTTCTCACAAATACTTTTAAAAAATTGGTATTCCACAACAAGCAAAATGACTGACTTCTGAACACTGATGATGCCACACAGCTTTGATCATTGTTGCTGCATTAACTAGCCATCTGCAGTTGTAGTATAACATTAAGTGTCGTTTACATTGCAGGAAGACAGCAGGCTGTTCGGGACGATCACCACAGTCATGGTGGATCTCATGAACTTCCGGTGCCAACTTGTTGCCAACACACTGACCAATGACCAGTGCTGGGACTTGAAGGAACAGATCATCTCCCGTATAGACTGGGGCAATGGGTTTGTATATTCTGTATATACTGGGGCAATTGGTTTGTATATTCTGTATAGACTGGGGCAATGGGTTTGTATATTCTGTATAGACTGGGGCAATGGGTTTCTATATTCTGTATAGATTGGGGCAATGGGTTTGTATATTCTGTGTAGACTGGGGCAATGGGTTTGTATATTCTGTATAGATTGGGGCAATTGGTTTGTATATTCTGTATAGACTGGGGCAATGGGTTTGTATATTCTGTATATACTGGAGCAATTGGTTTCTATATTCTGTATAGATTGGGGCAATGGGTTTGTATATTCTGTGTAGACTGGAGCGACGGATGAGAGTAATCTCTGTATATACAGCAGCAATGTTTGTATATCTGGGTAATTGTTCTCACAGAGAGTATCTGAAGGTTCTGTGTTTGTTGCAGGAAACTTGGCCTTGACCTGGTCCCGCGGCGGGATGGGAAGCAGGTTGACCCGGACAACTGCAGCTTCATCGAGTTGTACAGACTGCACTCTCAAAGCATGGAGGCATCTAAGGGAACAAGTGTAGGTAGTTCACAGTATATCATAATAAACCTGCAGGATGTAAAACAATCTTCATTGACTGTTTAGGAATTGGTGAGAAAACATTCAGACAAGTTTTGTTTGAACTAGTATTTCAAATTACTTGCTCCAGTTCTTTGCACTTGTGGGGATTCTAGGGCTGAGTTAATCTCCAGTGCCTCATGTTTATTGTATGAGATGACTGTACTGTGGATTGGGTGGTAGGCTCTGTGGCATGGCCTGATTGTGTGTCATTGTATTATTGATCAAGCTATCAGTGACTTGTTTGCCTTGCCAAGGCTTGATTAGTTATAACTTACTGTGATTCAACTGGACAATTGCTGACCGGTGTAAAGCAACAACAAAGTCGAATATATATGGTCATTGAAATTATTTTGGCTGCATATCCAGGTGAGCTACAGTGCTGTGGAACAATTTGTAGCGGTATGATTTTATTTCATCATGTATGCATTTGGAGAAATTCACACTTATTAAAGTAACTCATATGAATCAGAAGAATGCTTTTGTTTATTCCAGCCTCGCAGACAAACGATCAGAGACAAGGCACGGAGTAGTCGGGAGAAGGTGGCGTCATCAATGGCTCATCTGGTGCTCAGCTTCAAGTCCCTTGCTTGCAACGTCGGCGACGAGTCGGAGACCTACTTCTCCCTGTATGACAGCAGCACCAACAAGTTCATCAGGTGAGGTCGTCTTCTCGCCATAATGCAGAGTTGGTTCCCTAAAGCATGCCAGGAATTTGGAATTGTGGGTTTGAATTCTTGTTTGACCTGATTATGTTTCTGGGTTTGTAGGCACCATACCTGTTCCAAAGTGGTGAATGTCTGAGACCTGTATCACTTCAGGCTTGTCTCCCACATCAGTCTGACTTGTCATATGACTGAAATACATGAGAGAAATAAACTCATTTGAGGTGTTGATTTGAGCAGGCTTAGAATTTTTCTTTTTTTAGGCTAGTCCAGAGGACAATAGTGGAAGCTTTATTTCACTAGTCCTTTGAGTTTGTAGCTAGTCTGATTGAATGAGACAAAGATCTTTCCTACTGTCAGTTTTATTTAGTTTCAATTTGTCCATTTCTAGCACAGTGAACTGGTTCAGAAATATAATTATCGAAATCTACTAGTCACTGAGGACATCATTGGATTTTTACTTGTCCTCAGCACAATTTAGTTGTCTCGTGCTAGCAGACTAGTGTGAATTTCAACATGTACCCAGATAGTGTCTCTCATTTACTCAGCACTGATGAACGATATGCGTTGTACCCCATTGTTATTGTTGTTCATAATCTTCAGTGAGAAGTTCTTGGTCCGGAACACTAACAAGGGCATGCCAGTGAACATGGAGAAGCTTCACAACTACAGGGGGATCTTCATGGTAAGGGGAGCTTCACAACTGTAGGGGATCTTCATGGTAAGGGGAGCTTCACAACTACATGGGGGTATTCATGGTAAGGGGAGCTTCACAACTGGAGGGGATCTTCATGGTAAGGGGAGCTTCACAACTACAGGGGGATCTTCATGGTAAGGGGAGCTTCACAACTGTAGGGGATCTTCATGGTAAGGGGAGCTTCACAACTATAGGGGGTATTCATGGTAAGGGGAGCTTCACAACTGGAGGGGATCTTCATAGTAAGGGGAGCTTCCCAACAATGGGGATCTTCATGGTAAGGGGAGCTTCACAACTATAGGTGGTATTAATGGTAAGGGGATCTTCACAACTATAGGTGGTATTCATGGTAAGGGGAGCTTCACAACTATAGGGGATCCACATGGTAATGGGAGCTTCCCAATATTGGGGATCTTCATGGTAAGGGGAGCTTTACAACTACAGGGGGGTATTCATGGTAAGGGGAGCTTCATAGCTAAAGGGGGTATTCATGGTAAGGAGAGCTGACCAAGACGGCATGGATTGTTTTTCATGGTTTGCCTGGTCCAGACTCCCTGACTACAGGCTACCATCATTTGAGCTCCATGCTTGCCGTAAAAGGCGACTATCGGTATCTGGTGGTCAGGCTGATTGGTTGATGCATGTCATCGTATCCCAATTGCGTGGATCCATGTTTATGATCACTGGATTGTCTGGTCCAGACTTGATTATTTACAGACCGCCGCCATATAGCTGGAATATTGCTGAGTGCGGCGTTAAACAACAAACCAACCAACCAACCAAAAAGCTGAATGAAGCTAAATTTACACTTACTTTTTTAAGAAATCACAATTCATTTTCACTTTGTCCTGGATAACTTGTCACACCATGTTATCAATGTGACATAGTTTTCAAGGTTTGTTTTCTTGTGATGCATGTTCGATGAAGAATGTGAATGAATTCTTAGCAAATATGATATGATATGAAATGGAATGTGACAATGAAATTTTACTTTTTTGATCAACAGGACCTTAATGAAGCAGATTTGGAAAGAGAACTTTACTTGGTGGCTCAAATATTCCGATCAGGTGAGAGCATCAGTTTAATAGGTTCAATCACTCACAATAATCATACAGGATAGAAGAAATTCATTAATTTGTGAAAGTGAAGTTGTGTTTGTATATAAATAATTATTTTGTCACCATTAATGTTGGACTCAAAGCAATCCCCTAAAATTTACAAATAATATAACAAAGTCTGTGATATATTTCTTCCTTTTCCCCTGGGTGTTTCCAAAATAAATGAAACCTCCAGAAACAAATATTTCATAACATTTTTGGAACAATGTGTAATGTTTTGATGAGTTATTTACATGTGCATTATGAAACTGAAACTGCTCCAGCCTACATGGTAATATGAATAGTAGACATGTGTTTGACTTTGAAGCAATTTAAGCATAACAATGGCTTTCCTTTTATGTGAGCAGCTTATATTGTTTGCAAGAAAGTGAAGCGTGTGTATTTTCTCAGCCACTTGCATTGTTTAACTGTCAGTTCTCTGATGGATGCGGTGGAGCTTATATGTTTCACGAGCATTGCTAGTCCGCTAGAACTTGTGCTTCGTGTGCAATGACATCGCCTTCTTTTGCTGACTATATCACAGATGAGTTTTGATATTGCAATACCGGTAAATACATCTCATCGTTAAGACAGAAAAGTATAAATCATTAAACAGAATCATTAGTGTTGTAGGGATATAGACACCATGAGATGAATCCAATTTGGACTTGTTTATGTAATGTTGCTACAATCTGAGTGAGTGAGTGAGTGAGTTGGGTTTATTGCTGCTTTGAACATATTCCAGTTTATGATGGTGTGTCAGCTTAATGTGGGAGGAAAGCCGGGAGTGATGCAGGTCTTAGACTTTTACGGGGCAAGGGTGGCCCAGTCGCCTAAGGCGCCGCGATTTGCTGTGCAGAGTTGCGTCCCTTGGGCATGCCAGAAACCTATGATTGTGGGTTCGAATCCTGGTTCGCCCCGATTATGTTTCTAGGTTTGTCAGCACCATCCCCATGCTCATGGGTTTCACCGAAGTGGTAAACGTCTGAGACCTGCATCACTTCGGGCTTTCCTCCCACGTTAAGCTGACACGCCGTGATATAACTGGAATAATGTTAAAAGCGGCGTTAAACCCAACTCACTCACTAAGACTTTTACAACTTTGGTGAAACCCATGAGCATTGGTACGGGCTGATAAACCTAGAAATATGATCCGTGTGAACAGGGATTTGAACCAACGATCATTAGTTTCTGCCTCAGACGCCAGAAACCTATGATCATGGATTTTGAATCCTGGTTTGCCCTGAATGTGTATTGTGGTTTGTCAGCAATATGCCGACGCTCCCGGGTTTCACCAAAGTGGTAAAATAACTAGTACCTGTGTTATTTTGGCTTTCCTTTCATATCTAGCTGACTCGCAGTGACATGACTGTCCAAAGTGGCTTCACACCATAGTCACTCACTCACTTTGCAGCTAGGGTAGTCGGGTAGCCTTGTGGTTAAAGCGTTCTCTCGTCACGCCGAAGACCCGGGTTTGACTCCTGACATGGGTACAATGTGTGAAGCCCATTTCTGGTGTCCTCCGCCGTGATATTGCCGGAATATTGCTAAAAGCGGCGTAAAACCAAACTCACTCACTCACTCACTTTGCTGCTACATGCCTCTGTGGGTGGATAGCATTTTCCTTTGCTGTTTGGCCTGATAGGATGGGTACAATTGTGAAGTCTGTGAGTGGATATCCTTACACGTGAAATAATGTTTGTAATTGCCAAAATAACTAAAATCCCATGTACATGTGAGTGGTGGACCTCTAGCAGAAGTAGTAAATATGGAGTGGGAAAATGAAAGCAGCCATTATGTATTACACTTAAGTGGCTTTTGTAATGGGTATATGTAGATCAATATTTCCTGTCTTTTTCCTTGTGTATGGCTGTAACCTTTTTGGGCTGAAAGAGCGTGTCATAATATGTTGATATTTCGAACTGAAAGACACATGTTTCTGTTGTTAGTAAATGGATTTATAACGGACATAGAAGTATGTCTGTAGAGCATTTATGGCAGTATATCAGGCAGAAATTTGATTCAGAGCTGGAATATGTGAATATCACGAAAGCAATGATGGCAGGTGTGACATATTTTGTGGAAGTTGTTTGTATGACATTGCTGGGACATATTCTGAGGCCAGTTAAGGTTGATTAGTAAAATCCATTGTTTTAAGTAGAATGTTATTTTGTTAGTTTTCTGATGGATTTTAATTATGTTTTTGGAAAATGTTTGCTTTGGCTGTTTTAATTCCCACACTTCAAGCTCTATTCTTGATCTTAAGGGGTGGTCTGGTACCCTAATGGTTAAAGCGTTCGCTCGTCACGCTGAAGACCTGGGTTCGATTCCTGATATGGGTACAATGTGTGAAGCCCATTTCTGGTGTCCCCTGCCGTGATATTGCTGGAATATTGCTAAATGCGGCGTAAAACCATACTCACTCACTTACTCACTTGATCTTGATCATCTTACTACAACAACATGGGTTGAAGCTCACACTATCACCACTGGTTTGTCTGTCCCTGTCTCCAGGACTCACAAGTGTCTATGATACAGGCGTAATAATACATTCATTTTCTCCGTCTATCAATCACTGGTATGTGTAGTCGAGAATTGGTAGCTTAATAAGGGCCATGAATAGCTGTAATAATGCCAACTTTGCAAACATGAACATTCTTTTTTCTCAGTCTATCAATCACTGGTATGTGTAGTCAAGAAAAGGTAACTTAATATGGGCCATTATATAGGTTTAATGATACTGACTTTGCAAACAGGAGAATTCTTTTCCTCAGGCTATCAATCACTGGTATGTATAGTCAAGAAAAGGTAACTTAATAAGGGCTATAATGTAGGTGTAATAATGCTGACTTTGCAAACATGAACATTCATTTTCTGTCTATCAATCACTGGTATGTGTAGTCAAGCAAAGGAAACTTAATAAGGGCTATAACGTAGGTGTAATAATGCTGACTTGCTCACTGACATGTGTGATCTTTGGTTGTTCAGCTACGTCTATGTTACAAAGCAGTGAGCAGCAAACCCCACCCAAGAGTAAAGGTATACTGCACCGCATCTTGTACTTGTAACCGCTGTAACCGTGTTGTCTAGCAACTGTAACCGTGTTGTCTAGCAACTGTAACCGTGTTGTCTAGCAACTGTAACCGTGTTGTCTGGCAACTGTAACCATGTTGTAACAATGTTGTACTTATTGTAGCCGCTCTAACCATGTTGTCTAGCAACTGTAACCGTGTTGTCTGGCAACTGTAACCATGTTGTCTGGCAACTGTAACCGTGTTGTCACCTGTTGTCTAGCAACTGTAACAATGTTGTCATCTGTTGTCTGGCAACTGTAACCGTGTTGTCACCTGTTGTCTAGCAACTGTAACAATGTTGTCACCAATTGTGTAACAACATCTTGTACAGCAACTTTCACTGAAATGTCAATACTTCACAAGTTTGTATACGCTACGTTCCTCCATCACTTTGTCACTAGTTATATGGGGGCGGCCGGGTAGCCTAGTGGTTAAAGCGTTCGACTTACCTGAAACTAGACACATCACCACTACACCTCATATTGACCCCATATATCCACGGGTGATTGAGGAACATAGAGTACACATTATACATGCCCATGAAGAATTGAACATGTTGTAGCAGTGTAATTGCATGTTGTCTTGCAGCCTAACTCTGACTTGGATTCGAGATGTGTGAGTGAGTGAGTGAGTGAGTGAGTGAGTGAGTGAGTGAGTGAGTGAGTGAGCGAGCGAGTGAGTTAAAATTCAACATTGCATCGGCATGGAATCGAGATGAAGGAATAGGTTCGAAACCATTGTATTGTCTGTGACAGGAACATTGCTGTTTTTGCTATACTGGGCACATGGTTCTGCAATGAAGGTGTGCCATCAGTTCTCACAAGATATTATGATCTATTATTCGTCAAATGTTTTAGCAATTGGTTGCCTTCATAAGCATCTCTGAAAGTTTGAACAAACTGGTACATGAATATTGATGTCTTCATACTTGATGGAAGATAACTGAATGCATATCCCCTGGGAAATGAATACATGATTTATAACACTCACTGATGCTTCACTCACCAAATAACATAGTGACTGGTCGAAGGTGGTGTACCAAGGAGGTCACAGGAAATATACATCATACATACATGTCCATTGATCAGTGTATATTATAAATATTGCATAAGAGTCATGGTGGTAAACATGAGTTTTCTTCAAACCAAGACAATTTTAAATGAGTTTCACCTGGATGTATTTTACCTGATTTACCAGATATTATTTTGAAGTCTGAAAAAGATTGATAAATAATGATAATAATTTCTAGTAAAAAATCATTAAGAACAATCAAGACTTCAAACATTATAATCATTTGATAGTCATGATAGGTACTTTCAACTCCGCAATGAAAGAAACCTAGATGACATACAAAAGTGCAATTGTTTTTTGTACCAATGTCCCATGTAGTTTATTGTCACTTACAAGAGTAGGCTTTAACATCTGTTTTCAATTTTGTATTCTTGATTCCCTAATATATTCATAAATTTTCATCCGAAAATTGTGTCTTCCAATTGCTTATATAGTTGCTTAACAACTGCTTACTTGCTTAAAACTGCTTAGTAATGGAAGATATAACTTTATCCATACCCCTATTAGCTAATCATCATCATCATCATCATCATGATTGTGGTGAGATTATAAGTGGGACAAGTTAAGTGTGTGAGAAAAGAAAACCGCTTCTACTCAACGATATGTTATGCTATTCTCAGTCAACATTCCTCTGGCATTCTTTGACAATTAATGCGATGGTGTTTGGAAATATGGGGCTACTTGTATTAATTTCATGATGCAGGCTTGGGGTCATCGCTGTAAACAACCACACTGACACAATACTTACCTGATTTACAATCTATATTGCCTGCATGTGTCAAGCATGTTAATGATGAGTCTTGCTATTGATACAGATGTATGGAATGACTAGACTTTTAGACTCTCATGTTCTTTGTACATACTGAACAAAAAAAGTTAGGGAACGTTAATATTTTTGGGGATATATATTTGTTTTGTAGTGAACATGGTGAGGAGTGAGCATACAATTTCATAAATATATCCCCCAATATTAATGATCCCTCACTTTTTTGTTTTGTATATACCGTATTTGATATAATAAGCACACAGGGTGCTCTCAAAATTAGAAATAGGGGGCTCTTATTGGAATATAATTTGGTAAGAAAAAAAAACAGTTGAAAGATCGTAAATTTTGTGGTTTATGCTGACAGCCTGAAATGATACAAAGGAAAGTCTGTGCGTATTATACATGACAGATATATTCCAGAATTGAATTGGCCATACTTAGGGGTGCATATAACACACGAGTGCGTATTATACACGAATAAATAAGTCGTGTGTACATTGATCAATCGGAAGGGGTGCTAACTGGGATTGTTTACTAGCCAGTATATTAGACAATATCATCCTGGGCCCTTATTAGAACGGGGTGCTTATTATGTCGAATACGGTATGTAGTGTATTGAAACACAATAACACAATTGATTACTCCACTTGCCTGATGACAGAGGATGGTACTTCCATGCTGTGCACTGTGCAACTGACTTGTGTGTCATCTTGGATGTCCTGTTTTGACATAGCGTGTATACATACATGTAGACAGTATTGCTTGTGATTGTAGTGAGTCGTCTCTTGATGCTTGAGTCATGCATACGTACAGAACAAATCATACTATTGATGCTTTTTCTCCTCAGCATGATGTCACATGACTTCTGTTTATCAATGTTCAGTTGTGTTAAAGGGCACCGTCATCTAAGTGGCTGCAATTCGCTGTGCAGAGTTCTGTCCCTTGGGCATGCTAGCAGCCTGATTGTGGGTTCGAATCCCAGTTCACCCTGATCATGCTGACAGTGGTTTGTCTGTACCATAACCATGCTCAAGGGTTTCACGGTGGTCAACATCTGAAACCTGCATCACTTCGGGCTTTCCTCCCACATCATGCTAACAAGCTGTGAGATAATTGAAATACTGTTTAAAGCAGCTTTAAACCAAACTTGCTCTTTCATGAGATGTGCAAACTTTGAAACTCATCATGCCCTAGCACTACGTAAATTTTACAGCTTCCCACCTTGAGAAACATATCAGCTTACAGATGATGCATGTTTGGAGTAGTTTGGATAGTTTCACAATTTCATTAAAATCAAAATGGTTACTCAGATACAACGCCTATCTGACTGAAGATCTAACCCACCCTCCTCAGCAGTTTGGAACCTATTGTAGGTTCAAATCCCGGTTTGCCCCGATTATGTTTCTAGGTTTGTCAGCACCATACCCGTGCTCTTGGGTTTCACCGAAGTGGTAAACGTCTGAGACCTGCATCACTTTAGGCTTTGCTCCCACATTAAGCTGACATGCTGCAATATTACTGGAATACTGTTAAAAGCGGCGTTAAACCCAACTCACTAGCTCAATCCTTAGCAGGTTGTTTCAGGTTATGACCTTCTGACTTTTTGATTGGCATTCTAGAAGTTGATGAGTAAATAAGAAAACATACAACTTTATGGATAACAACTACTGGATTATTGCAAACGGCGACATTTCCAAGTTGATTCTTAAACCGTTATCAAGGTGGTTGTCTCACTCCAGCTTCATAACGGTGTAAGAATCAACATCGAAACATCACTATATACAATACACCAGAAGTTGTTATCCATGCGGTTGTCTCGTCACGATATGGCTGAAATATTGCCGATGTGACGTAAAGCATTAACTCACTCACTCACTCCATGCGGTTGTACATTTTCTCATAACTTTCTGAATGGCCAATCAGTTTGGAGGCTACCGCATACACAGAATTGACGAGCAAAGTATTCAGAGCTGCATTTGGAACAATGAGGGCATTGCTAGTATGTTGTGAATATTTATGCGCCCTGTCGTTTCTCATGCCAATAGGGGGTGTGTACTTTTGAGGTTATTATTTTCTTCTGTGTGGTTTCCTTTGTTGAGATCACAATTTGCTGAATCGAGATGGAATGAAGAGAAATTGAACCCAAATCATATCAGAAAACTGACTTTGGTTTGGCTAGAGGTATTCTTCATTTAGTTTGGGTGGTCAGAGTTCACCTGGCATGACATCTTGCGGAGGGTTCATCAGATCTTCATGCAGATAGGTATTGTAACAGTAAATGATCTTTTATCACATGTAGAAAGTACCGAAGTTGTTGTTGGAGATTGTTGCTGATCAGTTGTTTATCACGCAGGCCGGATGCTGCAGGAGTCGTCGAGCAAGAAGATTCCCAAGTTCCATTACCGCAGACCATGGGGGGCTGCAGGTGAGATGAAAAACACTCTGCTGCTGGCGTCGACGTTGTGCATTGTCTCTATGCCACCTGGGGGGGGCACAGGTGTCCCAGTCGTCTAAGGCGCCGCGATTCGCTGTGCAGAGTTGCGTCCCTTGGGCACGCTAGAAACCTATGATTGTGGGTTCGAATCCCGGTTCGCCCCGATTATGTTTCTAGGTTTGTCAGCACCATACCCGTGCTCGTGGGTTTCACCAAAGTGGTAAACGTCTGAGACCTGCATCACTTTAGGCTTTCTTCCCACATTAAGCTGACACGCCGTGATATAACTGGAATAATGTTAAAAGCGGCGTTAAACCCAACTCACTCACTCTATGCCACCTGGGGTGGCATGGTCGTCTCAGGGGCTTCCGTTTGCTGTGTTCAAAATTGACATCAGATGGCCCAAAGCCCGACGTCTGCCATTAACAGACCAATGATTTTAGCAAAATGATAATGCCCTGAAAAATAACTTGACCCTTGTTGTAGCTGAAATGGATTGAATTTGTAGCTAATCCCCACATGAACAGAACAACAAACAGCAGCATAAGTGTCTGTATTACAAACCTCACAACAGAGGTCATTGATTCACAAATAGCAACCTTATAGAACATTATAGGATGATGTCACAAGCAAGAAACGTGATGCCATTGACGTCACATGACAATAGAATAAACGGCAGCCTGTCGTTAGGGAAATGTGGTCTGCTCTCAAGTTACCATGGCTGCAGATTACTGATAACATGCAGGCATCTTTGGGATAATTCTATCCATGGTGGCATTTAATAGTTGTAATAATACTGACTATGGGGTGAAATAACATTTTCTCACTCACTGTTTCTTTCAAAATTAAAATTTAAAAAAAAAAAATTTGAAATGTTCTTGAAAGAAATGAATTGTTTTCACAACAGTTTGTGACTTTATCCACAAATTTTGTACTATAAAAACAATATCAACTTAATGTCAAGTTCCTATGTGTTTTTTATTTTTATTTAAAAAAAATAAATATGGTTAGAATGTTATTGTAATTTTAAATAATGTCTGTTTCCACATGAAACTTTGGAAGCTTCCTTATGTTTGACAGTGTTATATCTGAAGGATGTCCTTGCATTAAAACGTGAAGAGGAGCTTGACTTCCAAATGAAGGTCCAGAGGTAAGCTCAATAACCAATTAATCACATGGCACATTAGGGGACAATACATCAGGTGTGTGACCCCAGTGAAGAGCAGGCTAGAATTAGCCTTCAGTAACTTATGTTGGTCATTAGACAGTGATGTTTGTTTATAACAGCTGTGTGGAGAGTCAGACAGTGATGTTTGTTTATTACAGCTGTATCATGGTATGGAGAGTCAGACAGTGATGTTTGTTTATTATAGCTGTGTGGAGAGTCAGACAGTGATGTTTGTTTATTATAGCTGTGTGAAGAGTCAGACAGTGATGTTTGTTTATAACAGCTGTGTGGAGAGTCAGACAGTGATGTTTGTTTATTACAGCTGTGTGGAGAGTCAGACAGTGATGTTTGTTTATTATAGCTGTGTGGAGAGTCAGACAGTGATGTTTGTTTATTACAGCTGTGTGGAGAGTCAGACAGTGATGTTTGTTTATAACAGCTGTGTGGAGAGTCAGACAGTGATATTTGTTTATTACAGCTGTGTGGAGAGTCAGACAGTGATGTTTGTTTATAACAGCTGTGTGGAGAGTCAGACAGTGATGTTTGTTTATTACAGCTGTATCATGGTATGGAGAGTCAGACAGTGATGTTTGTTTATTATAGCTGTGTGGAGAGTCAGACAGTGATGTTTGTTTATTATAGCTGTGTGAAGAGTCAGACAGTGATGTTTGTTTATAACAGCTGTGTGGAGAGTCAGACAGTGATGTTTGTTTATTACAGCTGTGTGGAGAGTCAGACAGTGATGTTTGTTTATTATAGCTGTGTGGAGAGTCAGACAGTGATGTTTGTTTATTACAGCTGTGTGGAGAGTCAGACAGTGATGTTTGTTTATAACAGCTGTGTGGAGAGTCAGACAGTGATATTTGTTTATTACAGCTGTGTGGAGAGTCAGACAGTGATGTTTGTTTATAACAGCTGTGTGGAGAGTCAGACAGTGATGTTTGTTTATTACAGCTGTGTGGAGAGTCAGACAGTGATGTTTGTTTATTATAGCTGTGTGGAGAGTCAGACAGTGATGTTTGTTTATTACAGCTGTGTGGAGAGTCAGACAGTGATGTTTGTTTATAACAGCCGTGTGGAGAGTCAGACAGTGATATTTGTTTATTACAGCTGTGTGGAGAGTCAGACAGTGATGTTTGTTTATTATAGCTGTGTGAAGAGTCAGACAGTGATGTTTGTTTATTACAGCTGTGTGGAGAGTCAGACAGTGATGTTTGTTTATTACAGCTGTGTGCAAAGTAAAACTGATGTTTGTTTATTACAGCTGTGTGTATAGTAAAACAGTGAAGTTTGTTTATTACAGCTGTGTGCAAAGTAAAACAGTGATGTTTGTTTATTACAGTTGTGTGTATAGTAAAACAGTGATGTTTGTTTATTACAGCTGTGTGCAAAGTAAAACAGTGATGTTTGTTTATTACAGCTGTGTGCAAAGTAAAACAGTGATGTTTGTTTATTACAGCTGTGTGCAAAGTAAAACAGCGATGTTTGTTTATTACAGCTGTGTGCAAAGTAAAACAGTGATGTTTGTTTATTACAGCTGTGTGGAGAGTGAGTCTTCCTTCCCCCACCTACATGAGACATTGATAAAGAAACAGAGTATGATGATTGGGAAAGGCTTCACCATTGAGAAAGACAAGCAAACAATAGGTACCACATTGGGATCTTTTTCAACCTCATGATGATCATTTGTCTGCACCATACCCATTCTTGTGGGGTTTCATCAACGCGTAAAACGTTGAAGGCCTGTTTCCTCTCTTATTATGATGACATGCATGAAACCATGAAGCTTCTTGTATCATTGTGGATGGTAGAAAGTTATGTTCAATTGTTTTGTATTGTAGCAGCTGAGAAATATAGATGAAGAGTAATACACTGAGTTAAGAAAGATGCAGAATTTGGTGACAAGCAGTTAAATTTAAATTAAACTCCATATTCTGAAGGTCTCCATTTCATTCAGCAATTACTGAATTCTTTACCTGTTACATCACAATACCATGTATACTGTAACCATGTGTAACCTTACATGAACTTTGTGACATTATTAATATCTGTACTTAACTTACCAATACATAATTCACATTGACTATTTTCAAACTCCCACAAGTTTGTGACTGGTGTTTTTCACCAAGTTAGTACCGTCGATAAGTACTGAATGACTGGAAATACTGGAAGTCATTAATGTTTTTAACTTCAGTCAGGCCACATGTCCTTATATTACCACACCACACACTATAGGAGTGTATGTCCCTATATTTTCCACCAATTGTTCACTGACTTGTGTACAGGTACATTCCCACTACTTATACACTGACTGTTGTGTACAGGTATATTCCCACCAGTTATACACTGACTGTTGTGTACAGGTATATTCCCACTACTTATACACTGACTGTTGTGTACAGGTATATTCCCACCAGTTATACTCTGACTGTTGTGTACAGGTATATTCCCACTACTTATACACTGACTGTTGTGTACAGGTATATTCCCACCAGTTATACTCTGACTGTTGTGTACAGGTATATTCCCACCAGTTATACACTGACTGTTGTGTACAGGTATATTCCCACCAGTTATACTCTGACTGTTGTGTACAGGTATATTCCCACCAGTTATACTCTGGCTGTTGTGTACAGGTATATTCCCACCAGTTATACACTGACTGTTGTGTACAGGTATATTCCCACCAGTTATACTCTGATTGTTGTGTCCAGGTATATTCCCACCAGTTATACACTGACTGTTGTGTCCAGGTATATTCCCACCAGTTATACACTGACTGTTGTGTCCAGGTATATTCCCACCAGTTATACACTGACTGTTGTGTCCAGGTATATTCCCACCAGATATACACTGACTGTTGTGTCCTAGTATATTCCAACTAATTATACACTGACTGTTGTGTCCTGCTATATTTCCACCAATTATACACTGACTGTTGTGTACAGGTACATTCCCACCAGTTATACACTAACTCTTGTGTCCAGGTATTGCTGTGTCCATGAAGTTGCTCCATGGGGACCTGACCAGCGTCAAGGCAGAACAACCCATCATGTTCAGCAAGGGTATCACTATGATACAGAAAATTGGGTTCTCAGACTCCATTAACCCAGGTGAGTTTTTGTATTTGAGGCATGGATGGATGGATGGATGGATGGGTGGGTGGGTTATGGATGGATGGATGGATGGATGGATGGATGGATGGGTGGGTGGGTGGGTGGATTGGTGGGTGTGTTGATGGATGGATGGATGGATGGATGAATGGATGGAGGGATGAATGGATGGATGGATGGATGGATGGATGTGACTATCTGTAGCTGATTTCTGCATCATTATTTCCTACTTCAGGTGAGGTTCGGAATGACCTTTACCTGACCCTCGTCAACAGTGAATTTGATCGAGGCAGTAAGAAAGCAGCCAAGAATGTGGAGGTCACGGTCACAGTGTTCGACAGCAATGGTGATATGATACCGGTGAGAATTGGTTTGTTCTTTTGCTGTTGATGGATTCTTATGGGAATTAAAATTGGTGTGTGTGTTGTTAGGTTCAGCTGCTTTTGAGCGAATTATTATTTATTTTTAAAGTAATGATTGAGAAGGTGCCAGTGAAATTATGCCATGAGTGCTCTATTTACCAGTCCTTTTCCCGTGTAGGATGTATGGAATATTGCTAGGTGTGGCGTTAAACCACAAACATACAAACAAACAAACAAAGCCCTTGTAAGGATTCCTAGAGCATGTAAGGTCCCTATGCCTTTTGTGACAGCCAAGCAACAATGGGAAATGAGAGGTCACAACTGCTTCATCATGAATAGTGAATGAGACATAGGCACCAAAATAACTCCTTACAATCCGGCTGATTGTGTGCAATTGTATATGATAATAATAATATGTGGTGACATGGGGTTTACAGTCGCATTCAAGATTATTGCACATGTGTGTGTGTGGCTGCTTCTGCTCTCTGGGCAGACCCTCTACCACTAGACCACAGAGGACCACAGAGGTGGTCGATGATGATGATGATGATGATGATCATCATCATCATGGTGATGATGGGGATGTCAGGTAGCCCGATGGTTTAAGTGTATGAGTGAGTGAATGAGTGCCTTAGGTTTAATGCCGCTTTGAAAGTTCCAGTCATATCACGGCATATCAGCTTCAGGTAGGAGGAAAGCCAGAAGTGATGCTGGTCTCAGACTTCTACCACTTTGGTGAAGCCCACGAGCACAATAATGGTGCTGACAGACCTAGAAACATAATCAGGGTGAACTGGTACTGGAACCGACAATCAAAGGTTTCTGGCATGCCCAAGGGACGCAACTCTGCACAGCGAATTGCAGCACCTTAGACCACTGGGCCACCTGTGCCCTTGATGGTTAAAGTATTATCTCATCATGCTGAAAACCCAGGTTTAATTATCCACAGATGTACATTGATTCTTCGTGTACCCAGCCCTGATGCTGTATTAATCATAATAAGCGCTGTGGGTACTTCGAAAATTGACAAAGGGAGGCTCTTATAAAAACCATACACACAGGTTGTCAGTGATTGAGCGGAAATGAACAAACATAGCTGAACCATAGGTGAAGTAAGGTATAGTCAGTAGGCAATTATATTTCCCTTTTATGCTGCTCTTTCTGTAAATAAATCTGTAAGATACACAGGAAATTATGGATTGTCATGTAAATTTTCGGTCTTAGTAGGGGCCAGGAATTAAAATCACATACAGCTTAGTCTAGATGTGAGGGGGCACCTACTGGAGCAGGGCACTTGATACTGTTAATACGTTAGGCTGGCATAATGCTACAAACAGCATAAAGCCTGGAGGACTCATTCATCATCTACTTTGTTTGTTGGTGGGGTGGAATAGTTTCTGCTCATCAGATATATAAAAACATGTTTTTCTCTGTCAGGAGTGCATAACAGGTGGGTGTGGGGAAGACGCTGTCACCAAATACTTCTCCTCCATCTTCTACCACAACAACAACCCCAAGTGGAACGATACTATACGTGTAAGTAAAATATCACGCTTTGTGAGGTGGTGTGTTGCCACAGCTGTTGTGGATCCTTGTTATCCAGGTTCAGTCGATGGGTATAGTAAGTATAAGTTTCCTCCTCAAGGGTGATACGGACTTGAGGCAGTCCATATCATCTACAGAGGGGGGCGCTAACCAACTTATACCACATGGGACACGAGTGTGTTACACTTTACACAAGGATACAGAATCGTTAACCAACACTTCTTCCCCTCTCATCCAAATTGATTCGCCCTACCTTGTTGTAAGAGCAGGGTTGTTATAAAGAATAACAACCTGCGGAGGCAATGGACATAACACACCTTCGTAGTATAATTATAGATGAATGCAAGAGGTTGATTATGTTGTGAAAAAAATTAAACTATCATCGTCTGAATGACACCTACCCTGTGCATATTCCAAGTAAGAATTGGTCCCCAGCAGAAATGCTTGTCACAAGAGCTGATGGAAATTAGGTTTGAAATGTGACGAGGCTGACTTGGTGTCATCATGACATGGAGGCATGGTTTGTTTTCCATGCAGTCCACTTCTGGTTTGCCTTGCCCAGCTGCTGTCACCTACAGGCCCTTGTGACATGGATTTAATATTGTGGCGTAAAACAATAACGCACATTGTTATACCTCTATTGAGAATCTTGCAATTCCATTGGTCAATTCGTACCACATGATGAAACAATACATTTCAATGTAGACCCCAAAATCATGTGACTGACACTGACCTCGACTCATCACATGATCAGTATTGACCTGTCATGTGATGAATATTGACTCGTCTACAAGAAAACAAGATGGCACCTAGTACGAACATTTCATGGTTTTCAGCTAATGAAATAGAGGAGGGTTTAAAGACGTCATACATTTTCAAGTGAATTTGGGTATAACAAAACGAATGATTACTCTCGAAGAGGTCAATATCCGAAAACATGGACCCTTGGACCTGATCCCTTCTGTGGTCTGACCGGACCTGGACCTGCAGCCTCGGTTTGGTCTGACCACCTCAGCGGTCGGGTCCTCGAGTCCTTGTTTTCCCATATTGACCTCTTCAAGAGTAATTCTTTGTATATTGTCATCCAAAACTGGCATCCACAGGAGATATTGCATTACAATGCTATTGTGACATCATCGGTTACCATGACATTATTTCCCGATACAAGTATCGATCACAGTTGCATACCAAGTAAAAGATATTGATTCATACCTTAAATGTTTACTTTAATGGCTGTTACACCCAACACTAATTAGTAGTGAAAATTAGTAGTGAAAAGGTAAAATATTTTCATCCATTGCATCATACTTGACACTGCCAACTGTAAATCATCAGTGTGCCAGGTATTTGACTGTCCTGTCTATGAAAAAGATGGCTTACACACCTCAGATAAGAGCACATACAAGTATTGAGATACATATTGGATCTTGTCCAAGGTATCCTGATACATATTGGATCGTACAGTTGGTGTATCATCCCAGCCCTAGTAATTACTCTACCAATGAAACTGGATATCATATTCGACCCAATAAACGCCCATGTCCCAATAAGCGCCCCCAGCCCTCCCCCCCCCCCCCCCCCCTTTTCCTGGATGCCCAAGTAAGATTTACTCACCTGTTTTTTTACATACGGTCAAGAATCTTTTGTAGTCGGTTAATGAGGAGAAGTTCACCAGTAAAACGTAAGTAACAGTTTATCTCTAGCCCCCCAGCAACAGAAGAATATTGATAGGCTTACTGATGAATTTACGCCAATTTGACTCTGAATTTGTCCCAATAAGCGCCCACCCCTTCTGTCTTTATTTTAAGAGCCCTGGGCGCTTATTGGGGCAAATCCGGTATGTGTATTCTTTACACTCCAGACGCTGCTTATTACTGTTTACAACTTGAAAAGTTGAAAGGATGATTTTGGATGAACAAATACATCCATATGCATGTATATATTCCACTGGGCGAGGTTCTCCATATCTCCCTGAATGAACAACAGCTAGAGGGAAGAATCTTGTTATTGAGTTAAAGATGATGAATAGCATTAATGAGCACTGACAGTGTGTTTTGTGTTTCAGCTGTCCATTCCAATAGACAAATTCCAGTGTGCTCACATACGATTTGAATTTTGCCATTGCTCCAGTAAGTATTGGTTAAAAGCCGTTATTTATATCATCTAAAATAAGATTTCAAATCCCCGAATCAATTCGATGACAAAGTAGTACCTGTATAACTTTTTGTGTATAGTTAAAATCAGGGCATCTAGTCTCCAATGGGATAATTTTAAATCTTATTGAGTCATCTGTAGTTGAAGACGCGCAGACTGCTAATATTAGGTCACGGGGTGGATAAGGATTTCGGAGTTCAGGTTAAGTTTTGGAATTCACAAAATTGTCATTTTTTAGGAGAACCCTTTATACACTCATGGGTAGCCATGAAGGCAGGTAGTGAGTGTTACTAATTATAAATGTCATAATGTAGGTTTTTGTTTTTTTTATGCCGCTTTTAGCAATATTCCAGCAATATCACGGCGGGGAACACCAGAAATGGGCTACACACATTGTACCCATGTCGGGATTCGAACCCGGGTCTTCAACGTGACGAGCAACGCTTTAACCACTTGGCTATCCGACCGCCCCGTCATATTGTATGACCATCCCAGTGGGGATGTGGAAAGGGGACCAGTCAGTTCACTTTTTCTGTGTTTCTGTGTAAACACACTTTGGGTTATTTATGGCAAATGTTTTATAATTTCTTGTAGCCCGGGACAAGACTGAGAAGCAGCTATATGGTTTCTCCTACCTGTCCCTCAACCCTTATGACTCGGCCACACAAGCAGATGGCACACACGCCCTGTGTATATACAAGGTAGGTACCAGTATATATAGAGGCTGGGCAGGCACATTCCGTGTACATGTATATATAAGATAGCAATGCGATAATTCTCAAAGAAAAATGAAGAACATCGTGTGGTTTATTTCACGATAAAATATTGTTCTATCATGATGTCATTTGTGGAGATTCGAACATGCGCTCACAACTTGATGACGTCGTATATTGGATGGCGTTTGATAAATTGACTTATTTTTGTCATTTATGTATTTTCAGTGTGATAATGCAAGCAAAATTAGGAACTATATGAAACTCCCATCGTTCCAAGAGGACTTCAATGACCCCAAAATCATGTCCACTTTGCCCAACCAACTTCCGTACAATCGCAGCAGCAAGGAGTACCTCACAGTGTCAACATTCCTCTGTTCAACCAAGTTCACCCAGCAAGGTAAGGTCCCCATACAAGCTCATACAACAGCGGTGGGCTGAGCTTCCTTGGTTTAAGTGGCCTGAATAACATTTACAAGATAAGAATAAGTGAAAAATTAGTGAGTTGAACAAAACAAAGTTGGTAGCTGACCTACAGTTTCACACAAAACACATATCTTAACAAAGTGAGCATCTTGTCCATTAAGCTTTCTTAACAATGTGAGCAACTTGTGAGCAACTTGTCCATTAAGCTATCTTAACAAAGTGAGCAACTTGTCCAGTAAGCTATCTTAACAAAGTGAGCAACTTGTCCATTAAGCTATCTTAACAAAGTGAGCAACTTGTGAGCAACTTGTCCATTAAGCTATCTTAACAAAGTGAGCAACTTGTGAGCAACTTGTCCATTAAGCTATCTTAACAAAGAGAGCAACTTGTCCAGTAAGCTATCTTAACAAAGTGAGCAACTTGTCCATTAAGCTATCTTAACAAAGTGAGCAACTTGTCCATTAAGCTATCTTAACAAAGTGAGCAACTTGTGAGCAACTTGTCCATTAAGCTATCTTAACAATGTGAGCAACTTGTGAGCAACTTGTCCAGTAAGCTATCTTAACAAAGTGAGCAACTTGTCCATTAAGCTATCTTAACAAAGTGAGCAACTTGTCCATTAAGCTATCTTAACAAAGTGAGGAACTTGTCCACTATGTTGTCCCACATTGATGACTGATGATTCCTTTGATACGTAGCATGCTGAGCTGCTTGCAACATGTCATTTCAGCGGACCTTGTCAGGGTGTTCCAGTCCAGCAGTAGACAAGAGTGTATTGAGAAGAGTCTACACAATCTCATCAACCTCCGAGGCCAGGAGGTGGTCAGGGTAGGTAACTCCGTACAACTCTTAATGTATTGACACAGCTGAAATATTGCTGTCGAAGACACCAATTTGTGTCCTCTTGATGCTCACTGACAAGATGGCTTGACACAAAGAGAACATTCTGAAAAAACATACACATGTACTATGACCAAAAAGTAAGTTGAGATTATTATTTTGTATTGCAGGCATGCTCTGTTTTGGCTGTTTGTAAATAATGATCACAACAAAAACAAATGACAACAACTGTTGTTGTTTTATTGTTAAAGAGTATATATTGGAATCTAGCCACTGAACACATCTACTCATGATCTGGAGAGAGAATTGAAAGATTTCAACTTCTTTATTATGAGGAACACTTTTTGGAGTATATGCTTGCTCCTCCATCCCCTGTTGTATTCCTCATGATAAAGAAGTTGACATTCATAAATTCTCTCTTATGTGTATCTTTTCTAAATGCCATTCAAAGACTTGACATCTACTCATGATCTAGAGGGTACCTCTAGAAAGACCAAACCTTTCTCTGTCAGAAGTGAGACCCGTGAAGATCCGGGGTAGAATAGGTTTTCAGCAACCCATGCTTGTCATAAGAGGCGACTAACGGGATCTGGTGGTCAGGCCCGCTGACTTGTTTGATGCATGTCATCGATCCCAATTGCGTGGATCGATGCTCATGATGTCACTCACTGGATTGTCTTGTCCAGACTCTATTATTTACAGACCACCGTCATATAGCTGGAATATTGCTGAGTGCGGTGTTAAACAACAAACAAACAAATCTGTCAGAAGTGAAGACCTTTGGATAGAGGTGTAGCTGTCCTTAACATCCACCATAACCAACAGATTCAGCATAATGTATCTCCCGATAAACTAAACACCACCACAAATATATAAACATTTTATACATATCCCCTTTTCAATACTTATTGTCAAATATTCCTCCCTCTACCATCTTGTCCTTTCAGTACCTTCAAGATATCCTGGATGCCTTGTTCTACATGTATGGACACACCAGTAGTGAAGGGGAGCGCTTCAAACACGCTGCAGAAGTCTTTCATGCCTTAGTAAGTAGGGCCCTAGTGCACAAAGTGTGCTAAGACAATTGTAACTTTCATTCTTTAACATAGAGGCATTGTAGCACCAAGATGGCTTTTCAGAGCTGGGCCAAGGAGTTTCATCTGTAATTGGATTTGACATTCAGATAGGGACTTCATTAGACTTGCTGGCCCTCTCAAGACTGACATTATGCTGAGGGACTGTTCTTCCCAGTCTGGGGTCTATCTCAGTCTGGATTACGACAAAGTCATTTGGACCTCCTCCATGGTCTCGTGGACACGGGGGCACGGGTGGCCCAGTCGTCTAAGGCACCGCGATTAGCTGTGCAGAGTTGCGTCCCTTGGGCACACCAGAAACCTATGTTTGTGGGTTCAAATCCCGGTTCTCCCCAATTATGTTTCTAGGTTTGTCAGCACCATACCCGTGCTCGTGGGTTTCACCGAAGTGGTAAACGTCTGAGACCTGCATCACTTCGGGCTTTCCTCCCACATTAAGCTGACACGCCGGGATATAACTGGAATACTGTTAAAGTGGCGTTAAACCGAACTCACTCTCGTGGACACAGTGTCTGCCTGCCCCAGACTGTGTCATACCAAAGGATGTTAAAAAATGTTGTTGTTACCCAGCCTGGTGCTTGGCATAAAGGGAATAAATAAAACAAGGATAGGTCAGCATGGAGATAGTATACATTACCTGAGTAGGGTTTCCAAATTTAAACTGCGTCATGGTATCAAAGTGGGCTAGAAGAAGCACATACACCAAACACGCACATGCAAACGCGCACTCACCCACACACACATACTCGCTCACACACATACTCGCTCACGCACAGACACACACACTAACACAGACAGACAGACAGACACATCGCTGTATTAGTGCAATGGTCTTGAACACAACATAAAACCCCATTTCACCTCTCGCATGTAACTTGTATCTTTGACTCATGTTCCTGATCAGGGGATGAATCGGTCCCTAATATCCGAACTACCATGTTGTCTGTGTCAGGAGATGTCAGCTCCAGTTATACTCTTGTTCCCAGGTCCATATATTCAACCTGCTGCAGGACAGCAAGTTTGAGAAGTTTGTGTGTGTGCTGGAGGCCTATCTGGAGGAGAACTTCTCCTACCCCCTTGCTTATCGGTGAGTATGGTTATTGTGACCATCGTTATTGTGAGTGCTTGTCAGTGAGTATAGCTATCAAAGAATTGTCAAGTATGGCTATTAGTGAATATGGCTATTGTCAAGTATGGCTATCAGTGAATATGGCTAATGGCAATTTATCAGTGGGCAGAATGGCAGATATGGCTATTGATGCGTATGACTTGGTGAGTATGAGTATCAGTTAGTTTGTTTGTTTGTTTATTTGTTGTTTAACGCCACACTCAGCAATAATCCAACTATATAACGTCAGTATGTAAATAATCGAATCTGGACCAGACAATCCAGTGATTGACATCATGAGCATCGATCCACGCAGTTGGGATACGATGACATGTATCCGTTGGTATGACTGTCAGTGAGTATATGGCTATCAGTGAGTACATGGCTATCAGTGAGTACATGGCTATCAGTGAGTATATGGCTGTCAGTGAGTATATGGCTGTCAGTGAGTATATGGCTATCAGAGAGTATATGGCTATCAGAGAGTATATGGCTATCAGAGAGTATATGGCTAGGAGTGAGTACATGGCTATCAGTGAGTATGTGGCTATCAGTGAGTATATGGCTATCAGTGAGTATGTGGCTATCAGTGAGTACATGGCTATCAGTGAGTATGTGGCTATCAGTGAGTATATGGCTATCAGTGAGTATATGGCTGTCAGTGAGTATATGGCTATCAATGAGTATATGGCTATCAATGAGTATATGGCTATCAGTGAGTATATGGCTATCAGTGAGAACATGGCTATCAGTGAGTACATGGCTATCAGTGAGTATATGGCTATCAGTGACTATATGGCTATCAACGAGTATATGGCTATTGGTGAGTACAGTAAATCTTAAAATTAACGCGAGCATGAATTTAATGCGAAAAATGTGAGTGGTCTTTGTTCGCATTAGTGAAACCTCGCATTTATATGACTCCAAAATTACTATCAACTATAAGATGACCTCATTGCACACTTTGGATAGCGGAAATACCAACTTTTAATATAAACGCAAACGGTTTATTGAGCAGCAGTTGTAACAGGTACATAACAATGTCATTTAAAGAATAGGAATTACACCATAGACATCCGTTGAGTTATCACTGCTGGGGTCAAGAATTCTACCCAGAACTGACTCGGCATCATTCACCACTCCAAACAGTAAACTGTTGTTGGTTCAATTATTTTATTGCCTTTGAACTTCCAGTCAGCAGAATAAACATATAAAACTGTGTGTTGTTTTTAGGAAAACACTTTTTATAGATATTACAGAAGTTCTTTACTCAATGCTAATAAGCCCTGCTATTTGTGTTTGATGGGATTAAGGTAAGGATATGTATCATTCCACTGGGGATGGGGTAAGAGGGGAGTCGCATTGAAATTGAGTGGCATGTTAGGAAAGGGGCCAGCAGTCGTATTAATTTGGAGATGCATTCATTTCAAGATTTACAGTATTTGGCTGTCAGTGAGTATGGCAGTCGTTGAGTTTAGCCATCGGTTGAGGAGAACTGTCATGACAAACGGGCAAGGCCCTCAGTTTGCCCAATAATTCAACTGGTGCACTGTTTTTTGATCGGTATTTCTTACAAGTTGATGAATGACAAAGTAGCCCCAAAGTTTATCCTTGTCCCTGCTTGTCAACGGTACAAGGATCTATACCAAGGCGTAGCTATTACAGTATAATAAAAAGTTATTATCCATAATTATTTTTGTGGGTCTACTTTGTTGCACTGTTGCTGCTGAGACGATGGTCTAGGAAAATGAAGTAAATGAAACTTGGTTATTGCATGTGTATTACCACTCTCTTACCCAGAGTTCCATGCGGCCGGCAGCCAGCTAGCATAGTACCTCTGCCACAGGCCAGCGCCATGTGACGATTCGTCACATCTTTCACAGTCCATTCAAGATATTGCATATGGTTTTCATCCGTTTCATGTTTGACAAGTCTACACATTTTCATAAACAAATGTCAAAGAATGGTTAACTTTCATTGAGAAAGTATGCAAATACGTAAAAATCTACTTGTTTTTGCGTAGTTATCCTATGTTTACATTGGTTGTACGGCTCCACGTGCTGTCATCCAAGCCCAACGGAGAGCTAGCGACATGGTCACTTTGATGCATAAATATATATATTGTCATGCAACTCACTGTCGCAATTGTAGTAGCATATCTATATAGTTATGCAAAACAATATGTAAAGCGCCCCCAAATACTTGCATTAGTCCGTTCTATACTGATTTCTGAAAAAGCGCGTTTGTTTACAAACAAGAGAAAATTCCGGTCACATGATATGCAAATAAGCCAGTGGCAGTGGTGTTATGCTGAGTCACCACTGCGACGGAGTGTGGTGTATTACATGAAATATACCCTCGTAAGTCAACAATACTCCAACTTTCAGCTGACTCACTGGCACAGCTTTAATAACCCGTATGCTCATATCACTGGATTGTCTGGTCCAGACTCGATTATTTACAGACTGCCATAATATAACTGGAATATTGCTGAGTGCGTCACTGAACAACAAGCAAACAAATAAACAAACTTAATTAGCCTGCGTAATCACCAGATGCCAATTAGCATCAGCGACCTGACAAACTGGGCTTCTGACAAGCAAGGGTACATTTGTTTTAGACGACACAATACTTGGCCTGTTGAAACCAGGCATCCAAATTGGGTTTGTTTGCCAAATCGGACATTTGTATTTTGGTCACATCCACCTCATATTTGACAGTTACTATTTGACGTTCATGTATGAATCAAATATTAAGATCAATTGTCACTTTTATGACGAATACCATATTTACTTGTGTATAGTGCACATTTAAAAAAAAAGCCACAACTGTGTAGAGGTGGGGGCCTTTAATGCCATAATAATAAATAAATTGATTTTCGTCCCTCCTCACCTCACTACCAAAGACCCACGTCACATCATAGTATTGTCCAAGAAACTACCTACAAAGAAAAGCACTCCAGTGTTATTGTGTTTCTTTGCTGGATGGGGGCGGTCTGGTAGCCTTGTGGTTAAAGCATTCGATCGTCACGCCGAAGACCTGGGTTCGATTCCCCACATGGGTACAATGAAGCCCATTTCTGGTGTCCCCCGCCGTGATATTGCTGGAATATTGCTAAAAGCGGTGTAAAACCATACTCACTCACTCACTCATGAGAAGCACATCTGTCAACAGTACAAGTACAGAGACACCTTCATGAACAGTCTGTTTAAAACAAATGAAATGAAATACCGGTATAAAAAATTGTGCTTCCTGTCCAGTTTGTTTTTAAAATTTGAATGAAACAAGAAATTTATTGTGCATCATCTCCAATGTCTTTTTTAAAAAAATTCCATATACGAACCCAGCAAGGATGTATTTGTGATATTGGGTCGTGTTAAGAATGTTTTCATCTGTATAAAGTAGTATTGGACACATGAAGTATACATGAATTGAGACTTACCTTTCATTTTACTCAGAAATGTGTGAATGTATCTGTGTCTCTTAATTACCATTAATGTTTCTTCTCATAGTGGTTTAGTTCCTGTGGGTAGGGCCCGTTTCACAAAGCGATCTTAGTGCTATGATTGTCGTAAGCCTATTTTAAAGTATGGGAGTTACGATCATCTTAGCGCTAAGATCGCTTTTGGGAACGGGGCCCTGATCTCAAAATCAGAAGATGCGCAACGGTTTTGTATGTTACTTTTCCAGAGATCTTCTAAGTTGCCTTCATGAGAAGACGGAACTTGCAGTCAGCTGTGCTGACTTTGACAAGGAATATACTGTAGAAGATGTTTTTCAGGTCAGTGTGGCATTCATTATTTAAATTTGTCTAAATCACATGCTTTTAGACAAAATAACATCTTTTAGGCATATGAAAAGAATTTTCTTGTTTCTCAGGATCTGCCTACCCCACTATTGTTTTGTATTTTTAAGCACTTAAAAAACGCCTTTTTCTTATTGTTCTGCAGGTGAAAAGAGGTCATGTGATACAATAGAATAACATTTTACTTCAAAAGATTTGTAAACTCCTGAAGAAATATAAAGTTGAAAACCTCCCTGCTCACAATCAAATTTGAAAAAAAGTCACGAGAAACAAGACTTGCCATATTGATTTGAGTTTTTTAAGAACTAAGTGAAGCGATGTAAGTAAACTCATGTTAAATACAACAGTACATGCTTAGATTTTGATGTTTTGCTTATGTTTGAACAGGTGCTAGAACAGATCTTCAGGTTTATAGAGAAGTCCTACAGGCTGTTCCAGGGGTGGGTAACTCTGCTCTGCTATTTACACTTTATGTGAACAGGAATGAATAGGGAAATGTAAGGCAGAAATAGTTTCACATTATCTGGCACTGACACATCAAAAAAATCCTTAAATGAAAGCATATTGTTTCTGCTGATCAAAAAACGTATATATATTGAGTTCCACTTTTACCTGGAAACAAAAAACATATTTTATAGTCATTTAAAACGAATTGTTCAGATGAACTAACACTGCATGTATTTTGAAGAAAACCAAACAATAACCAGTATCAGCTGTTTAAGTAATGTTACCTCAAAGGGACCACTTGTTTTAGTTCGTTATAACTGTAGTTCGTTATAAGCATATATACAGCATAACTACAGCATATAGTCGGGACAAAAAAGTAAGTTCGTTATATCCGTCAGTTCGTTATAAGCGTGTTCATTATAAACGTAGTTTACTGTAGTATAATTATCATAAAAATGCCTGCATGTTATCGGAAATCTGCGGGCCACTGTAACTTGATAGCAGCCTGCTTTTTCCTAAGGACAGGCTGCTATCTATTCTATTGTTATGTAACGTCATTGGTGTCATGTTTCTTGTGTTGTGACATCATCCTATGTTATGTTCTATGGCATTGGTATTTTTAAATCAGTGTCCTGCGTTGTGAGGTTCTTAATACAGTCACTAAACTTAGTTGCTGTTGTGGTTTTATTCCGTTAGGGATCAGCTACATATTCTATCTATATTAGCACAATGACCTTGTCTTGCAGTTAATCGCAGATCTTGGACTTCTACAAACGATAATGCCCTGAAAAATAACATTACCCTTACAATATAGCACTTAGCAAAAAGCAAATGCAGTGATATTTCACAGTGAGTATTGCAACATGTTGTTTGTGCAGACAATATGGAGTCGAGCCCGACAACTTCAAGCAGCTCCTGGGCAGTGTGTTTCGCAGCTATGGGAGAATCATGTCATCCACTGAGGTAGCCCTGCGTCGAGCACAGGTGAGTGAATGCAGGTAGTTCTGTTGTAGTTCAAACACAACTCCGAGGTTTGGGTTGAAAATGTAAAATCTTGAGCGAGGGGAGACCCGAAGGGCCGAAGGCACACAGGATTCGGAGGGTCTACGTAGAGGTATTCTGGACTCTGCAGTATGGTACGTGGGACGGAAATAAAGTATAACTTCAACATTTAGAAAAAATAATGGTGTTCATAATGACTTCCTTTAAACATTATATGTTTCCAATAATTATCCCCCGCCGCGCGAAAGCGCGAAGCGGGGGATATAGTATTCACGACCGTCCGTACGTCCGTCCGTCCGTCCGTCCGTCCGTACGTCCCACCTGTTTGTTGCCGCGATATCTCAAGAACTAAACACTGGATTGTCTTCATATTTGGAACTATGGTGTATATACAGACTCCGCAGACACCAGTCGGTTTTGGTGACCTTGATCCCATTTTCAAGGTCACAGCAGACAAATCTGCTTTTAGAGTTGGAAAACGGTGTTGCCGCGATATCTCAAGAACTAAACACTGGATTGTCTTCATATTTGGAACTATGTTGTATATACAGACTCCGCAGACACCAGTCGGTTTTGGTGACCTTGATCCCATTTTCAAGGTCACAGCAGACAAATCTGCTTTTAGAGTTGGAAAACGGTGTTGCCGCGATATCTCAAGAACTAAACACTGGATTGTCTTCATATTTGGAACTATGGTGTATATACAGACTCCGCAGACACCAGTCGGTTTTGGTGACCTTGATCCCATTTTCAAGGTCACAGCAGACAAATCTGCTTTTAGAGTTGGAAAACGGTGTTGCCACAATATCTCAAGAACTAATCGCTGGATTGTCTTCATATTTGGTACTATGGTGTATATGGCGGGGGATATTTCGTCACTCTGTGACAAATACTTGTTTTACTTCAAATCTCACCCTATATTCTACAGGTTTTCTGTCTGTGATAAACATTCTACCTCTGTAGGGTAAATCCTGACGTGTCCTATAAGATTTGTGTGTAATAGCATTCAGGATTCTAGGGTGAGCAAATAGGAAAAATTAGATGGGATTCAGAGAATTGTTTGGCACCTTCTTTGTTAGAACCATACCAATTTTCCTGGCTTTCACCAAAGTGGTGAATGTCTGATGCCTGCCTTACTTCAGGTTTTTGTCCCACATCAAACTGACTCACTGTGATGTGTGTCTCACACACTCCTATCATGGGTGGGTTGTCTTTCCCTGCAGGCGAAGCTGCTGAGGGAGCTGAACAAGACATTCCAGCCGCTGCTGAAGCTCATTACCCGCAAGGAGCTGGCGGGTCTTATCCAGGAGATGTGCAGCAAGATGCCCAAGGAGCTGCCGCCCTTGCTGCTGGAGGCCAAGCTGCAGCTCTGTCGGGATATGGTCAACTCCGTGCTCTTCACAGAACAAGGTAGGTTGGGAGATGGTCAACTCCGCTCTCTTCACAGAACAAGGTAGGTTGGGAGATGGTCAACTCCGCTCTCTTCACAGAACAAGGTAGGTTGGGAGATGGTCAACTCCGCTCTCTTCACAGAACAAGGTAGGTTGGGAGATGGTCAACTCCGCTCTCTTCACAGAACAAGGTAGGTTGGGAGATGGTTCACTCCGAGCTCTTCACAGAACAAGGTAGGTCGGGAGATGGTTCACTCCGAGCTCTTCACAGAACAAGGTAGGTCGGGAGATGGTCAACTCCGTGCTCTTCACAGAACAAGGTAGGTCGGGAGATGGTCCACTCCGTGCTCGTCACAGAACAAGGTAGGCCAGGCATTCTAATGTAACTTACTGAACTGAACAATTTGTTCAGTTTATTAGGTTGCCTAATAGTTCTCTTTGTCTGAACCTAGGTTTGTTAAAATTTCAAATATTGATTATTTTGAGAAAAATGTAACTTGGTCAATTTGTGTTTACTTGTCATTCAACCAGTTTCTGGGGTTTCTAAATATGCAAAGAATTTAGATGTTTAGGACATGACCAGGATTAAATGTGTTGAGGAATGACTTACGCCTGTGTTAAAAGTATCCTGACTAGCATTTAGACAGTGTGTATCTGTACACCTGCCTTACACTCACACCTGCCATGTTGTGTTGCAGTGTCCAGGGATATTGTGTTGCCCATGTGTATGTCTGTCATCAAGAAATGCCTTATCACCAAGCGAGTTCTTCCTCTGGCATCTCAGACTCTGGGAGACATCCTGGACCAGTTCAGAGAGGTCAGTATTACAGTGGGGTATTCTTTCTGTGTCGTAATAGTTGGGCGTTCTTTCTGTGTTGTGATAGTGGGGTGTTATTCCTGTGTTGTGATATTGGAGTGTTCTTCCCGTGTTGTGATAGTGGAGTGTTCTTCCTGTGTTGTGATAGTGGGGTGTTCTTTCTGTGTTGTGATAGTGGAGTGTTCTTCCCGTGTTGTGATAGTGGAGTGTTCTTCCTGTGTTGTGATAGTGGGGTGTTATTCCTGTGTTGTGATATTGGAGTGTTCTTCCCGTGTTGTGATAGTGGAGTGTTCTTCCTGTGTTGTGATAGTGGGGTGTTCTTCCCGTGTTGTGATAGTGGAGTGTTCTTCCTGTGTTGTGATAGTGGGGTGTTCTTTCTGTGTTGTGATAGTGGGGTGTTATTCCTGTGTTGTGATAGTGGAGTGTTCTTTCTGTGTTGTGATAGTGGAGTGTTCTTCCTGTGTTGTGATGGTGGGGTGTTCTTCCTGTGTTGTGATAGTAGGGTGTTCTTTCTGTGTTGTGATAGTAGGGTGTTCTTTCTGTGTTGTGATAGTGGAGTGTTCTTCCTGTGTTGTGATAGTGGGGTGTTCTTCCTGTGCTGTGATAGTAGGGTGTTCTTTCTGTGTTGTGATAGTGGGGTGTTCTTCATTATCGTGATAGTGGGGTGTTCTTTCTGTGTTGTGATAGTGGGGTGTTATTCCTGTGTTGTGATAGTGGGATGTTCTTTCTGTGTCGTAATAGTGGGGTGTTCTTTCTGTGTCGTAATAGTGGGGTGCTCTTCCTGTGTTGTCATAGTGAGGATGTTCTTTCTGTGTTGATGCATGTCATTAAGATGTTTGTATAGTGTTTACCTGTCACCTAGCTATGAATAGGTCGATATGTTCCCTGATAGCATGGAAATGTGGCATTTTACTGCAACCTGGTATCTTGTAATATAATGATGGTAGTATCTACTGATGAATAGAAAGTGACAGCTAAAATGGGAAGCATAAAAGCAAGGGAGGTTCCTGTGCGTACAACAGTATGGTGAATGTGAATGTGTTCCTGTGTGTACAACAGTATGGTGAATGTGAATGTGTTCCTGTGTGTACAACAGTATGGTGAATGTGTTCCTGTGTGTACAACAGTATGGTGAATGTGAATGTGTTCCTGTGTGTACAGCAGTATGGTGAATGTGTTCCTGTGTGTACAGCAGTATGGTGAATGTGAATGTGTTCCTGTGTGTACAACAGTATGGTGAATGTGAATGTGTTCCTGTGTGTACAGCAGTATGGTGAATGTGAATGTGTTCCTGTGTGTACAACAGTATGGTGAATGTGTTCCTGTGTGTACAACAGTATGGTGAATGTGAATGTGTTCCTGTGTGTACAACAGTATGGTGAATGTGAATGTGTTCTTGTGTGTACAACAGTATGGTGAATGTGAATGTGTTCTTGTGTGTACAACAGTATGGTGAATGTGAATGTGAATGTGTTCTTGTGTGTACAGATCTCGGTGCCTGACGGAGACAGCCAGTACGTCCTGAAGATCTTGTTCGACTTACTGATGCAGACCCTGTTGATCATGGACGAGGTGCAGCAAGAGGAAGCTGGGGTGAGGAGTGTTAATATAGCCAGGGTTCAACCCCTTAACATGAATATGTATTCATTGTATTTTGGAAATTACCAAAATGAGGATTCCTCCACCAAAATATCTTAAATATATGACAACATCATATAGCTGCATTATATATGTGTATATCAAACAAAAAAAGGCAGATTTTGATTTTACAAAATATATTGTAGTTCCTGTGAAAAGAAGTAATTCTTCAATTTTCTCCATGATCAGAGTTGGGCTGAGTGTCCAGGGGTAACTGATGATGTGTAGCCATTATCAGCCGTCTCCTAGGCCCGAGGGAATAAATTGCAAAATAAATCAGACTCAAGCCTAGAAGGATTTGGCAAGTCTAGGTTTCCTCAGCTATAAAGCCTCTGGGCTCCATTTGGATTTTACTTTCCATTTTGTTTATATATATTTTGAAATGAGATACTTTATTTTTGTGTCTAAATGTAAGTCTAATGTAAAATTATTATAAACTGTGAAATAGACAGTCTACTAGGTTCTGTCTGCACTGGTTTGCCGCGATTTGGTTTGTCAGCATCATACCCATGCTCGTGGGTTTCATAAAAAGTGGTAAGCATCTAAGGCCTGCATCACTTTTGACCTTCCTCCCATGTCAAGCTGACATGGTCTTGATATAACATGACTATGGTGTGGCAAGCAGCATGAAGCCCAACTCACTCACTCACTCACTCTCTGTCTGCAGGGCATGATGATCTGCTGCCTCATGGAGCTCCTCAGGAAGATGGAGGAACTGCACTACACCTCTCTCATGAACACCTACCCCAAGGGGAGGCCACTCAAGGTACTCCGCCCGGTCCACAGGGCCTGATTTCTGGAAATCTGCTTTAGGCAATAACTCAAGACTTTTCTCTTTAATCTTTCCTTTAATTTGGTCATAATGTTGTTTGATGTCAGACTGATTGATCATTACATGGAAATACCCAAAGCACTGTTCAAAGAGTCATACCCCACATTCTCATGACCAGACCAGGGCCCACTTGCACAGAGCAATCTTAGCGCTACGACTATTGTATTGTTAAAATATTGGAGTTACGATCATCTTAGCTAAGATCGCCTTGTGCAAGTGGGCCCTGGACTTAATGACCAGTGTGTAATATGTTGACTTGGTTAGTCAAAGGTTGGTAAGTGTCCAACTTCATGCATGATCTGTGGACTTGGTGACAGTATGTGTGTGTGTGTGTCAAGGGTCAGGTCTGTATTTCAGGACTTCCTGATCCGAGTGCTGCTGGTTTTCCGTGACCTCATCAAGCGGGATGTGTTCCCTGCCAGCTGGACTCTCATGAGGATGGTGACCAACCAGTGAGTACCCTCCACCGTCCACCCCCACACTGGCATGAAGGCCCCATTGTCCATTGATGGCAGTTATGAAAATTGATGATAAACCAAACTATGTTTGACATGGTATTTCAAGTATGTGCTCACGGTGATGTCTTTGTATTGGCGAAAGTAATCAAAACACATTGTGGTGTGTATCATGCATCTGTGTTTTTTTTTGGAAAAAAGTGAGCACTGCTCAAATAAATTGGTTCAAAAAAATACAGAAAAATTAATTTTGGCCCAGTGTAGATTCTGAGGCAGAATAGACCTCCAGTTCCATGTGCTTGTTGGAGAACTGACTAAATAAGGTTTGGATGGTCACTGCTTTGTAAATGTTTTTTGGGGTCATGATGTCCAGGGGCAGTGAGGTAGCCTAGTGGTTAAAGCGTTCACTCATCACACCTCAAGACCCAGGTTTGATTCCCCCAACATCGGTACAATGTGTGAAGCCCTTTTCTGGTGTGCCCCACTGTGATATTGCTGGAATATTGCGAAGAGCAGCATAAAACCAAACTCACTCACTCACTCATTATACGCAGTGGCTTGGGCATTGCTCATGTTGCCAATAACTGGTTTGTGTGGTCCAGGCTCAAGGGCTGCAGTGTTGGGCTCTATTATTGCTGACTGACATGGAACAATGCTGGTCCATTCACCTGTTTTGACTGCTGGATTGGTGTTCTGTTGGTGATAAAGTCAGCTCATTGATCATCACTTGTGATGAAAACGTGTAGGTTAGCATGGAATTTGAATTTGAATTTACCAATTAGTATGGAGTTTCATGTCCTTTCATGTGCCTGTTCCATAGCTGACTGGTGTATTACAGCAAGCGTGTACTAATTCACTTTCAGCGTGATCCTGACCGCCATTCAGTACGTGGCCCAGTCCCTCACAGAACACTTCCTCACTGGGTCAGACTTTGATAACCAGGTGAGTTCCAGGCGAAGGGCAGCATTGTGTAGTCTTGTATGTCACGCATCCAATCATCTTCCCGGGGCAAGTGTGTTAACTGACTATATAAAAACCAGTTTTCACCCTAGGCTGGTATTATGGAGTTACATTTTGACTGGACAAACGAGTCTATGCATAGTCCAATCACAATCGCTTAACGAAATCGAAATCCGGTTCGTAAACTGTCATGCAGATTTCAGTCGATTGCAGGATTTGCAAAGCATGTGCACTGCCAACTCTATGTCAAGAGATACTTTCCAAATCTTTTCATGTTTTTAATCAAGGTGCTCATGGGATTTGATGCACTTCACGATGAAAAGCCCATTTTATCACAATATAGATCTTGATTATCGATCAGATCTTCTTGACTGGACGAAGCCATTTTGTTTGAAGGAAATGCAAGTGATAAATATGAGAGGTTATGGAATCTGATTGGTCCATAGGAGAGGCATAGAAGGGACATAACTTGTAATAGCCACTGGTGGCGCTAGGATCAATCCCAGGAATTCCAGCCTAGTTCGGCAAAGATGGAAACTGAATTTTTAAAGTCAGTTAACTCTCTTGCCTCGATCAGGAAGATGGCATCCATAGGTTTATGAGACTGTGAAAATCAGAAAGAAGTAACGTTACAGACATTTTGAAAATTGTGTTTAAAATTTGTAATAATGAATTGACAGCTGAATGATTCAGTTAATTCAGATTCATGTTAGATTCATGACAGAAGATACCTTTATTGTATGCATATTGGTAGAGTGTAAAAAAAAACATACTCATTATCTGTAGGATAAATTGTTTTCATGCATGGTTATGTGAAGGTAATTGTGCTTTTTTTCCCAGTTGTGGAGCAACTACTTTGACCTGGCGGTATCCTTCGTCACACAGGACAGTCTCCAGCTGGAGAGATTCTCTGATGCCAAGAGGAACAAGGTCAAGGACAGGTCAGTGCGCCATGTTTCACGTAGTAGACAGAAATGTTGTTCTTTAATAGAAGTTGTTAGGGTAGGCTAGAGCAGTATTTAAAGTAGTAAAGGGCAGTATTTGAAGTCGTAAAGAGCAGTATTTGAAGTCGTATAAAGCAGTATTTGAAGTAGTATAAAGCAGTATTTGAGGTAGTATAAAGCAGTATTTGAGGTAGTATAAAGCAGTATTTGAGGTAGTAAAGAACAGTACTTGAAGTAGTAGAGAGCAGTATTTGAAGTAGTAAAGAGCAGTATTTGAAGTAGTAGAGAGCAGTATTTGAAGTAGTAAAGAGCAGCATGCGAAGTAGTATAAAGCAGTATTTGAAGTCATAAAGAGCAGTATTTGAAGTAGTAAAGGGCAGTATTTGAAGTAGTAAAGAGCAGTATTTGAAGTAGTAAAGAGCAGTATTTGAAGTAGTAGAGAGCAGTATTTGAAGTAGTAGAGAGCAGTATTTGAAGTAGTAGAGAGCAGTATTTGAAGTAGTAAAGAGCAGCATGTGAAGTAGTATAAAGCAGTATTTGAAGTAGTAAAGAGCAGTATTTGAAGTAGTAGAGAAGTAGAGAGCAGTATTTGAAGTAGTAGAGAAGTAGAGAGCAGTATTTGAAGTAATAGAGAGCAGTATTTGAAGTAGTAAAGAGCAGTATTTGAAGTAGTAAAAAGCATTATTTGAGGTTTGTTAAGATCAGTATTTGTAAGTAGTAAAAGGCAATATTTGAAGTTATTTGATATTGGATATTTAGTTGAAAACATGTTAAGAATGCTTATTGATTTGGATGTCTTTCTTTCAGATACCAAGACATGAGAGTTCTCATTGGTTTACAGATTCAGACCTTATGGAATGGACTAGGTAAGGCTTACCAGCTTCAATCTAGATTGTGCTGCTTTGTGAGTCATGATGGGAGAGAAAAAAATGAGTTTGGTTTAGTGTCACTGTAATGCAATATGCCATCAGTATCATGGCAAGGGACACCAGAATAGGCTTCACGCACTACCCATGTGGGGAATTAAACCCAGGCCTTCAGTGTATAGTGAATGGTTTAACCACCAGGCTACCCCACCATCCATGAAATGGTATTTGCTAAATTTGAGTGTGAGATTACTAGTAGAAGATTTTTGCTGAGAGATTTATAGCATTTAATGTTTTTGCTCTAAATGGGTATTAAAACTCTATTTGTAGCATTTAATGTTTTTGCTCTAAATGGGTATTAAAACTCTATTTGTGTTACAATCTATTTGTGTTACAATTTTAGGAACATGCTGTAGAGAAAATACAATTGTGTTTTTGTTACCCAGGCAACCAAAAGAGACATTTTATTCCATCCCTGGTTGGTCCATTCCTGGAGGTTACCATGGTACCAGAAACTGATGTCAGGAAGGCAACAATTCCTATTTTCTTTGATATGATGTTGTGTGAGCAGAATATAAAGGGAAACTTTACCTCAGTAAGTACTACAGTACCAGTTAAACCATAACCTTTGTAAGCTCTACAATACCAGTTAAAACTTCGTCTCAGTATGTACCACAATACTAGCTAAAACATCACCTCTGTACGTGCTATAAATATGATACCCAGTACATATTACGTAGAGAAACACAACTATCTTTTAAATCCATGAACCGTTGTCAGATATCCAGGTGAGCTACACCCTCCCTCATTTAATGCGGTCATTTGTTGATCCTTCCAATACCACTATCTATGTCTGGAGATTTTATGTATGCTTCCAGCTAATGGTCAGTAAATGGGACAAAAATGGAAATATTGCATTCTGACAGACCCCAACATTTCCTGGTGATATACCGTATTCGACGTAATAAGCGCCCGCTCTAATAAGCGCCCACGGCGATATTTGCTAATATACCGGCTTGTGAACAATCCCAATTAGCACCCTTTCTGATTGATCAATGTACACAATACTTATTTATTCGCGTATAATACGCACTGGTGTGTTATATGCACCCCTAATTATGGGCAATTACATTCTGGAAAAATCTCTCTCTCATATATAAACATTTCAGGCTGTCAGCATAAACCACGGAATTTATCTTTCAACTCTGTTTTTTTCGACAAAATATTATTCTAATAAGAGCCCCCTATTTCTAATTTTGATAGCGCCCTGGGCGCTTATTACGTCCAATACGGTAATACCACAGCCCTGTTCCTCAAAGCGATGCTGGCACTACAACTGTTTTAACAGAAATTTGTCAACATAGATTTCTGACAGTTGTATAACTACTACTGTCTTGACTTCTAAACTTTAACGGGGGCACGGGTGGCCCAGTCGTCTAAGGCGCCTCGTTTAGCTGTGCAGAGTTGCGTCCCTTGGGCATGCCAGAAACCTATGATTGTGGGTTCGAATCCCGGTTCGCCCCGATTATGTTTCTAGGTTTGTCAGCACCCTACCCGTGATTGTGGCTTTCACCGAAGTGGTAAACGTCTTAGACCTGCATCACTTCGGGCTTTCCTCCCACATTAAGCTGAGACGCCGCGATATAACTGGAATATTGTTAAAAGCGGCGTTAAACCAAACTCACACACTCTAAACTTTAACATGTATACCATATTCGACGTAATAAGCGCCCCGCTGTAATAAGGGCACATGGTGATATTTGCAAATATATTGGCTAGTGAACAATCCTGATTAGCACCCTTTCCATTGATCAATGTACATAAGATGTATTTATTCGTGTATAATACGCACTCGTGTGTTATATGCACCTTTCATTACAGGCAATTAAATCCTGGAAAAATATATCTTTCATGTATAATACGCACAGACTTTTGTTTTGTATCATTTCAGGCTGTCAGCATAAACCATGAAATTTACGATCTTTCAACTCTTTCATCAAAATAATATTCTAATAAGAGCCCCCTAATAAGGGCACGACATCAGTATTTTAGACTATATGTAATCTCAGTGTGTCGTGGCAGGTGGAGAGCGAGATAATCGAGAAGCTGGATATCCTGATCACAGGAAACAATGGCGATACAGAGTACAGGACGCTCTTCAACCAGATGTAAGTACATCCACATCCACAGCTTTCACATACAATGGTTTGTTTGTTTGTTTGTTTGTTGTTAAACACAGCACTCACAACTATTCCAGCTATATGATGGCAGTCAGTAAATGATGGAGCCTGGACTAAATAATCCTGTGATTGACATCATGAGCATCAATCTACGCAATTGGGATACGATGGCATTCATCAACTACGTCAGCGAGTCTGACCAACCGAGCCTGTTAGTCGCCTCTTTCAACAAGCATGGTTGCAAAAGACCTACTCCAACCCGAATCTCCACGGATCCACACACAGTGACAGCTGCTTTGTCTGTTAAACTGCAGAAGTGGCAGAGATCATGACAAAAACAAAAGAAAATCTTTTTATTATGATGTATTTAAGTAAAACCTTTGTTGTAAAGTAATAAAACTGTCAGATGGACAGTCAGACACATAAGAGGACCAGATAGTGAGTGAGTGAGTTTGATTTTACCCAGCTTTTAGCAATATTCCAGCAATATCACGGTTGGGGACCCGTGAAGATTTCGGGGTAGAATAGGTCTTCAGCAACCCATACTTGCCGTAAAAGGTGACTATGCTTGTCGGAAAAGGCGACTAACAGGATCGGGTGGTCAGGCTCGCTGACTTGGTTGAGGCATGTCATCAATCCCAATTGCGTGGATCGATGCTCATGATATTAATCACTGGATTGTCTGGTCCAGACTCGATTATTTACAGACAGCCGTCATATAGCTGGTATATTGCTGAGTGTGGCGTTAAACAACAAACCAACCAACCAACCAACGGTTGGGGACACCAGAAATGGGTTTCACACATTGTACCAATGTCGGAAATCGAAACCAGGTTTTTGGCGTGACGAGCCAACGCTTTAACCACTAGGGTACCCGACCGCCCCTGGAGGGCCAGATAGAAATGGAGGGATGTGTTTTGTGATTTGTTGATGCATAATTTTAGTGATGATGTAAATTGTTGAAAACACATCACCATGTGGGTTTGTTACAGCCATGTAATATACTGTGCTAAAAAGGGTTGGGATCATTAATATTTTTGGGTATATTTGTTTGTAGGGAAGACTGAGCATGCAATTATCCCGCAAAATGTTTATGATCCCTTCCTATTTTTCGTTCAGTATGTGTTTACATTTAGTATGCAGGAGCACTTATAAATCTTCCAAATGGATCAATGTTTAGTATGTTTCAATAAGGAAAGAGGAGAGGACACAACCCTCCGAATCCATGTGTGCTTCACTTCCTCAAATTTGGGAAAACATCCACGTTTGTAATGTTGTTCTTGAATGATTCATTCCTTGTTTCGAGCCTTTGTTCTTGTGAGGTCTGTTTGAAACTGGCGTGAGTCCAAGAATTAAGATGCCCAGGTAATGAGGTACACTCACTCAATGTACCATCTTTAGAGTCAAGGTTGAACAACTGCAGGTTGGGTGAAGAAAGGCAATGAGGCAGTGTTAGCTAGGCTATTGAGAAGACAGGATAATATTTGTGTTTATACTTCAAGGAACTATGAATATATTTACATTCAGGATGGATTTATTTGAGGAGTCTCTCGTTTAAATGAATAGTGCAATATGTAGGATAAGTTTATGTATAGGATAGTATAATATATTGGATAGTTTTTGAATGTTATTTCTAAGGTTATCATGGAACACATTATCTCATGCTTGTGTTTTTTGCAAGGTTTGTTTGTTTGCTGTTTTACGTCGCACTCAGCAATATTCCAGCTATTTGATGGCGGTCTATAAATAATCAAGTCTGGACCAGACAATCCAGTGATTGATACCATGAGAATCGATCCACGCCATTGGGATCGATGACATGCATCAACCAAGTCAGCAAGCTGACCACCCGATCCCGTTAGTTGCCTCTTACGACAAGCATAGTCGCCTTTTATGGCAAGCATGGGTTGCTGAAGACCTATTCTACCCCGCATCTTCAAGGGTCTCTTTTGTAAGGGAACAGTTTGGATACATATATTTTACGGAAACATCATAAGGAATATTATACAAAAATGCGCTCAATAACATTCAAACTGTCCTTATAAAGATCCTGCAGTCTAAATTTTGCAGAAACTTGTCCCTAAGAGCTAAAACTGACTTGCACACGTTATGACAGCTGTTTACTTAGTAGTCATGATAATCTGATGGGGAGGTGGGGGTGGGGGTGGGGGTGTGTGTGTGAGGGGGGTGGGGACCTCCTGCTGAGAGACCACCTCCTTATGGTAACTGTCAGATAAAGATTAAAGTGATAACTGTGTCCCCGGAATTGATAAAGATATCATTTATCAACCAGGCTGACTGCATTCTTCTTCCCAGGGATGTTTACATAATGAGTGCATTTTATCAGCTCATAATTACCAGGTCTCTGTTATTATTGATAATATTAGTAATTAGAACTGTCACTTGTGTCTGTTATACCCTAGCAATGTGCAACAATTATACACAAGTATCAGATAATGTGCAACAATTATAAACAGAATATGACAAGTGGTGAATGTCAGTGCAGGGACAGTGTTGAAAGAATCAGGGCACATGTTGACTTGGAGATAGCAGGACACTTGTCAATTTCCGGTTGTCTTTCGTGAATATGTATCTGAAAACAGAGAAAGCAGATGGGGGATGAATGCACTGATTGTAGATTGACAATGTTTTACCAAGATGCAAAAGAACCAGATGACTCTGCACAAGAAAAGGTATATCCAAGATATTTGCATGATGATTTTTTGGTTGGTTTGTTGTTTAACGCCGCACTCAGCAATATTCCAGCTATATGACGGCGGTCTGTAAATAATCAAGTCTGGACCAGACAATCCAGTGATTGATATCATGAGCATCAATCCACCCAATTGGGATCAATGACATGTATCAACCAAGTCAGCGAGCCTGACCACCCGATCCTGTTAGTCACCTTTTACGACAAGCATAGTCGCCTTTTACGGCAAGCATGGGTTGCTGAAGAACAAATTCATAAGATATTTATGTTTTTTAGATGCCTTTGTTCAATATTGAATGCCAGTCATGCCCCTGATCATCAATAAGATCATGATGATAAGTTTGACTTTTTTGTGATGTTAAGTTGACTTTATGAAGTAAGCTCTTTATTTTAAAGTAACCTTGTATGTTAACTGCCTTTTCATGAAATTGCTCAGAGCTGATGAGTAAGTAGAAAACTTGGAAAAAAACCATATACCTCGATCATCCTCGATTATCGAGTGTAATAGCTGATACAACTGGAATACTGTTCAAGCAGTGTTAAACCCAACTCACTCACTACCAATATGATCATTGGGAAGTATATTTCTGTCAAAGCACACTGATTGATACAAGCAGTACTTGATTCACCCTCGCCTTTTTGCTTGAATATATTACACCTGAATGATTGAAGTATTGGTAGGGACTTCTACCCCCCACCCCACCCCACCCCCCATGGTAATGGCATGAGTAGAAGATGTCCTCCTGCTATTTCTATTGGAGCACACTAATGGGCCAAATATCTTAATACAAAATTGCTGATTTTGTTCAATGGAAAATTTCATAGTAAGTGGAGATAATTTGTAGTTAAAAATGGTTAATTCAATGTCCATATATTAAACAGAAATAACTGAAAAAATGCTATTAAAATGATAATTTCAAAAAGTAAACAACCTTGTTTTCGGTTTTCATTGTGTCTGTTTTGGGTAAACAGGACAGTGACAGAAGAATATGTATATCAGCAGAACCCATCTCTAAGTTACTGCAGGCTAATGGCCCGTTAAACTAGATAAAGACATGTTTTCTTCCAGAAAGGAAGCTGGAAATTCCCAAATGTTTGCCATTATCATGATGCATGTGTCTGACTGGGCACAGGGGAGGGAAACCAAAGTGATGTGAGGAGTTCCTGTGATCCTTGACCTGCTAATTAGAACCAGCAGTTTGAGTGTCCAGTGCACAGATAGCTCCTGACAGGGTTATTGGTTTGTTGCTGGCTGTGGGGATTTTTCTAAGTGGAATCAGAACAGGTGGTTTGACTTTCAACTAGTCTGTTAGTCTAACTTTCAACTTGCTTGTGGAGATCCTTGACTGTTTATGTCTTTTTCAAAGGAGTCAGATTTAGTTTTCCTTTGTCAAACTGTACATTTAATGTATTGTTGTCCAGAGTTATTCTTGAGTTGCCAAGTTTCAGAAGCCTTGAAACATTGATGTTTAATTCCTTACTTTTATATTTTCTTGATGAACATTCAACTGCTGTAATGCCAAAGAATAGGCATGCAGTATAGTTTTATGAACCCAACATTTGGATGTCGGAACTGATATTGCCAATGTCTATTTACATATAGAAATGTTCAAATAAAATGTGTTTCACTTCTCAAGTTAAAATGTTATATTAATTATGTGGATGATAGAAGGTGAGAGAGTGTCACAAAAAAACATGCCCATTATGAGTTGATCTGGCGCATACCGCTTCTTGTATACCTTTTACGACATAGAATCGTCAAACTACAACAAATATGACTTTTAACGGGTCAAAGTATGGCATTTATGATGTATGTATCCATTCTATGTCAACTAAAGTTTGTTTCAAGGTGTCAATAACGGTAATCTGACTGTGGTTGCTGTTAATAACAGTGAGTTGTGCGATCTTCTGATCGCTTCACTCATGATTTCGCGAAATTAATTAAAACAATATAAAAGGAATTTTGAATAAAAGTAATGAAATAAGTTACAAACATAAGTCCAGATATACAATGAACACGTTTTATAGCCAGACAGTGTAATTACATGATTAATTTGTGTACTTCAGTAGGAATTTGTTGACATGGTATTTCCAGTGTTACGTGCTCACGGCAATCATCAAAACTCATTATGGCGTGTATAATGCTCACCCCATCCACACAGCGGTGTTTTTGGGAAATAAATGTGCGCACCATACTAAAAAAATATGGTATATATACCTTGTATACTAGTCTGTCTTACAGACCCTGATACAAATATATATCAAATACAGCCCA